GAATTGCCCTTAGCATTTCAATTTAGCAGTTGGTTAAGGAACTTTCACCCCGGCCTTCTATTGTATTCCTTTAAACTTCATTTCATCTAGAAAAGTTTTCAGAGAAGTCAGAAGAGGTAGCAGAGAGATGAGTTCAGATGTGTTTTTATACCTGTTACATCTACTGATTTTTTTCTCATCAGCAAGGTAACTGATTACAATTATCTTCTATTACAATTATCTTCAATTATGATTATCTTCATTTCCTTGCTTCTTCTTTGCTCACTTGCAAAGCTCACAGCAATGAAGACGTTACCGATACTTTAGAATGTTAGAAAAATCTGTGTTTTAGAAGGATATGGTCATCCTTAGAGCTGAAAATGAATACTGATTATTGACTCTGGAAGTCAGACTTCAGCTTTTCCATGTTAACTCCTAAAAGTCTCTTAGATTGCTGATTAATAATTCTGGGGTTTTCTAAATTAATATTTTGACTTAGTAAATTAGGTTACTAAGTGGGAATTTGATTACATGGTGATGTACATAGGAATAGATTTTCCCAAAAGGGTTATGTGGGCTGAAGCTCCTTACATTCACACCAGCCAGTGTGATGCACCTGGTGCTACACAGCTGTCCTGTTTAAATTAAGGCTGTATTGGCCCCTGGTACTGAGCTTCAATTACAGAGCACACAAGGGTAAAATATTCAAGATTGCAATAAAGCTTTACTGGAGTACAGGTCTACTACCTCATATCATCCCCCATGAAACACACACTAAAAAAAGCTGTGTAACTGAGGTTGTTTTTCATACTATCAGTATATGGTATGAAAATATAGCATAGAATATAGAAAATATACCTCAGGCACATGACAGTAGCATTTTAAGCTCTCTCTCAAGCTTTAAGGGTGTTAATCCAGCTACCTCACATTAGTGACAAGACATTTAAATCACAGCTAAAGTTTCTTTTTCAAGCTAATCTTTCTGACTGCTCTAACATGGGTTGGAAGTTGTGTCAGTTCCAGCTGAGAAACAGTTCAAGAAGATTCTGCCTTGAAGCACTGATAGAATCACTGAATTAGAAAGCTTGGTCCTTTCCAGTGCAAAGGAAAACAGGTTAATTAAGCATTAAATAACAATGACAAAAATGCTGTTTTAAGTGACTATTGAGTCAGCTGTGAAATGCTCACAGCCAGTCCCCCAGGCCTGTTGGATGGTGAGTAGGGAGCAGCAGCAGCTACACATGCTGCCACCAGCCCACCTTAACTGGAGGACCACTCAAGTATACACATAAAGCTAAGGCATTCATGCTGGCTGCAGGAATGAGGCCATTTTGTCTGCAAAGCTCAGCTGCAGCACCCAGTGTGAGGTTGCTCATGTACCCAAGTACAGGTTAAGGGCTGACCTACTGGAAAAGAGCTCTGCAGAGAAGAACCTGAGTGTCCAGGTGAACACTAGATTGGCCATGAGCCAGCAGGGTGCCCTTGTGGCCAATTATATAAGACTGATGATATCCTGGGGTGCGTTAAAAGAGAATGGCCAGCAGGTGAAGAGGAGGTGATCCTCCCCTTCTACTCTGCCCTGGTGAGGCTGCATCTGGAGTGCAGTGTCCAGCTGTGGGCTCCTCAGTTCAAGAAAGACAAGGAACTTATAGAGAGAGTACAGCAGAGATGTTGAGCAGCCTGGTGCATCTCCCTTATGCTGAGAGACCTGGGACTGTTTGGCTGGGAGAAGACTGATGGGGGGATCTCATCATAGCCTCATAGAATTACAGGATGGGTTGGAAGGGGCCTTTAAGATCATCTAGTCCCAACTAGTTCCAACCCACCCACTACAACAGACAACTCCCTCTAGACCAGGTTGCTTAAAGCCCCAACCAGCCTGACTTTGTAAACATCTAAAGCATGGGAGTCGAGCGGATGATGGTGGACTCTTTCCAGCGGTGTGCAGCAACAGAACAAGGAGCAGCCTACTGCAGGGAACATGTTTTAGCAGGAGGTTGGACTTGATGATCCCCACAGGTGCCTTCCAACACTTAGGATTCTGTGACGTGGCTGGGGGCTGATCCTGTGATCCCCGGTGACGTTGCCCAGAGAAGCTGTGGATGCCCCATCTCTGGAGGCGTTCAAGGCCAGACTGGATGAGCAGCCTGACCTGCTGGGTGCCAGCCCCACTCTCGGCAGGGCCTTGGAATTGGATGTTTTCCATGTATGTGAAGCCCCTTCCAACCTAAACCGTTCCACGATTCTACAGTTCTGCAGAATCCCTGGATCTTCTCACAGGCTTTCCTATACTTCCAATTTATCTCCAATTGGGTCATATTAGAAGGCCTCACTTAGGAAACAGGTGCAGGATCGCGTTTCTCCCCAGTGGGCCAGAGGTACACACCAGGGCTAGGCGGCAGCCCACGTCCAGGGCAGGGCGCTGAGCTGCTCGGTCGCCGCCACGTCCCCCCCGGTCCCGTCGGTCGGGGCGGAACCCTTCAGCGTGGCGCCGCTTTCCGCCCGGCCGCCGCCGCGCGGTTGCCCGGTAACGTCGGCGCGGGCGGGGCGCGGCGCTGCGGGGAGAGTGGACCAGTGCGGAGGCTCGGCGGCACCGTGATGCTGGAGCAGGACGGCGGGCTCTCCCTCACCATAGCGCGGATCGTGCAGCGGCTGAAGGGCTCCAGCCTCCACACCCAGCTGGAGCGACAGGCCCGGGTGAGCCCCGCACCCAGGCCCGTCTCCCTCTCCCCGCCTCGCCGCTTTGTTCCCGGCGTTGTGTCCCTGCTCCGCGCGGTCCCGGGGCCTCCCGCCGTCCTTCCCCGCTTGCCCGGTCGCTGTCTGTCATTCCTCCCTGTGGGGCCGGAGGATTTCGCAGGCAAAGTGCGGGCTGCTTTCTGCCCATCTCACCCGCTCCGATAGTGACCGGCTTTGGGTTGTAATCCGCGATTTGCGGAGCTTTGTGCCCCTCCGCTGCCTTCCTCCGAAGTGCCCTCTGGGGAGACGGGGGTTTGGTGAAAGGAAGTGAAAATAAATGGAAAGTGTACTCGAAAGTTCGTTTTGTAGCTGGGAAAGCAGTTGTATTTAGTAACTGGTCTGTGCATGAGATCTCGGCTTCTCATGTTCCAGATGAACCCCTTCAGATTAAATTTGTATCTGTTTTCATGACCGTAATGACATGGTATTGGTGCTGCAGCCGTTGTTCTGCTTTACTGAACTCTTTGGGGTTTGATTTCATGGAATTTTGGATTTCATAGAATTTGGGATTTTATTTAATGTTTTGTAAACAATGTGTGAAGTTGTAGAGATTTGGTTCTGAGCAGAGTGCCCGTTGTTTGCCTTAAATTTGTTTGGTTTTGAAATGAAGAATGGTTTTCTTCTCTGAACGTCCTTAAGGCTTTCTCCAGCAGGAGACATCATAGAATCATAGAATGGCTTGGGTTGAAAAGGACCACAATGATCATCTTGTTCCAACCCCCTGCTATGTGCAGGGTCACCAACTACCAGACCAGGCTGCCCAGAGCCACATCCAGCCTGGCCTTGAATGCCTCCAGGGATGGGTCATCCACAGCCTCCTTGGGGAACCTGTTCCACTGTCACTACCCTCTGAGTGCCTTCTTTGTTTCTTTTGTTGTTAGAAGCATCTGCCAGTTTGGTCCTTAATACTGTTTTAAATGCATGTCTGCTGTGCTCTTGTTGAGTGGCAGCTCTCTATATTCACCATCCTAAACAGAGGGCCTGACATGGCATGTAGAGAATGAAGGGATTTCAGAACAGGAGTCTCTTCCAACTACTCCATTACTGATGACAATAAAACGCATGTTCACCTCTGCTTTTGTTTTCTTGCCCTCTGACTCCTGGAGGCCTTGTTTATGGCTATTGGTGCCTACACATCTGTTTTGACAAATGGCCAGGACTTGGTGGGTTGTTATGGTATGCAGTAACAGTGGGCAGGCTGAGAACTTTATCAGTACCCTTATCAGGACAGTTAGATGTCTGAGTCTCATTCCTCGAAAATATCCAGCATCTCTGAAAACATGAGTCACAATGGAACACACAGTCTATTTTAATACCACTAGATATTTTTAAGATGTCTTGTAAACATTATTTTAGCTGTTTCATAAATTGATCTCTTCTTTAGAGTCTATGAAGGGGAGCTCAGAATGAACAGTCTCTTTCACCTGTTAATAATTTTGAGCAAAACACAATTTCCTGATGTTATTTGTGAGAGATGATAGAAGAGTCCTGTGGTTATGAATTGATCCCACCAGTGCTCTGTTTGACGCAGCCTGCACCTGTGTCAGGGGCTGTGATGCACGATGTCTTTAAAATAAGTTTAGTGTGGGTGCAAAATGATCTACTGTCACAGTTATCATCAGATAATTACATTTTTGTCCTGAGAAATGAAATAGGGTAGAGTCGTGTGCTTGTTAATGAAGACTGGAAAAAGAAATGTTTGGTTGATTGCATAGGATGAGTTTTAATGTTGATAGTGTGTCTATAGTTAATGCAATGAGATGAATACAGAAAAAAAGTGAGCATGCTTTTTCACTCTATGCTTATTTAGAGGCCTTGCATCCCTCCTCTGGACCTGCTCCAAATGCTCTGCATCCATCCTATAGTGCAGGCCCAAGGCTTGGACACAGTATTCTGGATGGAGCCTTACAAGGTCTGAGTAGAGGGAGACAATCACCTCCCTCTCTCTGCTAGCCACCCTTGTTTGGATGCAGAGCAGGGTACCATTGGCTCGTGTCCATCAGGACTCCTAGGTATGCTCTCAAGGAGCTCTCCCAGTCTGTACAGATGTCTGGGGTTTCCCTGGCCCAAACACAGCACCTTATACTTGGCCTTGTTGAACCTCATTAGGTACATGCGAGTCCACTTCTCCAGCTTGTTCAGGTCCTTCTAAATGGCATTCCTTCCATCTGTTGTATCAACTGCACCACTCGGGCTGGTGTCACCAGCAGACTTGCTAAAGGTTCACTCAATCTCACTGGCTGTGTCATTGATAAATATGTTGCAGAGCACTGGTCCCAAGACAGACCCTGGGGGACTCCATTTGTGACCTTCCCTTTCTGAAATGCTTTTAAGGTAAAGTGTGGGGGTGGCTAGAAAAACTGAGATGTGGAAATCTTCAGGCACGAACTTTAGTTTGAGATCAGATGGGATGATTCAGAAATCTGACATCACCTTTTAAATGTGGATGTTTAACAGAATATTAAAAATTTTTCTTTCTTTTTAGACCTCTAACAGAAATCTGTCTGACCCAGGCTTGCCAGGTGACCAGGGGCAAATGACATGTAAAGCTTTTTTTAACTAAAAGTAAAATAAAATAAAAGCCCTAGTATTGTTTTTCCTAAAGAATTTTTCTAAACCAGCAGATGAGAGTAAAGTGTAATAAAGGTCTAAATTAAGTTCTGTGAAGCAAGCAATACTCACAAAACAAGGAATCCCTCCTGACATTTTCTGTATAGACATTTTCAGATTTGTTTTTCTTGTAGGATGCTTGTGGTGGGTGTACTTGAAGGAGAGCTTGTAGCAGATCAAGACAGTGCTGACTGAATAAGCTGAAAGATGAAACTGGACTGTAAAAGTCAGCCCAGACACTCCCACCCCAGTCTGGTAACTCAGGTGTGTAGGATGGAGTGAAGACGGAACACATCTGGGAAGTGGTAAAAGGTTTCAAGAGGTTCTTGAAGGTATCAGCAAGATATGGCGAGGAGCTAAGCTGGAATACATGGTCAGAATGGCTGTCCAGAAAAGAGGACACCATCAGCACTCTTGGAGCAGACATGTAACTACTTCCAAAGGATCTAAAGGAACTACTGATCTGAGTGAGAGGTAGTGATATTCGCAAGGCTTGGAATGGTGGAGGGAAGAGAGGAGCATTGGGAGTAATGCCTCTTAAAGTTGGGATGCTGCCTGAGTGTGTGCTTTGAGAGGGAGTGTGTGAACTTTTTAGATTAATTCATCTGGTGTAAAAGTTTGCAAGATATCTGAAGGTATTATTTCATGACTTTTTTTTTCCCTAACATTAAAGAGAAATTGATAATGATTCCTACTTAAGTAAAAGATCAAACTGAGAAATAAAATGTTTTTGTGAATGCAGTATTTATTTGATAAAAGTTAGCAAGTAAACATAAGCTCATGAGTCGTCATGGGTAACAAATGATTCCTTTTTGTGCACTGTATTTGACAAATGACTTGTTATCCCCTTTTGATAGAGCTTGTACTTTGGTCTAATTGGTCCAGCAGTAACATTGCAGTATAATTAATTTTAAATTGAATGCAGTTATGAATACTCTGAACAGATTGTGGAGTTCAGAAACAATGCCAGTGATTCAGGTTTAACTCACAGGTTTTATTTATCTATTTATTTTTAGTAATATGAATTAAATATATTTTAACTTGTGTTCTATTTGGAGCACTAATTTTATATTGAAATGAAACAGAAAAACTCAAATAGTGTGTTTTTGATGTTTAATTGATGTGATCTTGTGGGAGAATGTAATGTTTGAAACTGTTTATTTCAGTATGACACAAAGAGAAGCTGTCTGTTTCAACTGTTAAATTTTTGATTTTTTAACTTATATAAGAAAGCTGATAATACTTACACTCTTAATTTAGCTACAGTAGAAATGTGCAAGTGTAGGAAAAATGTTAGTGTATTCAGGGTTTTATACTTATTGAAATTGGCTGTTATGCTCAGAATTATCCTCCTTTTGGTTACAGAAATGTGTAAAATAAATCCAGAATCATTCCCTTAAATGTGTAGGATTTTTAGGTGCTTAGAGAGTGTTTATACTGGAATTGCTGCGATCGTAATTGAAATGATTTTGATCAAGTCAGCTTGATCCTAATTGAATCATTTATGATGATGACTGCCAACATCTTAACAGGATACTGTACCGAAGTCAAAGCTGTGCGTGGAATGCAAACACAAAGGATTGCTATTGGTACCTGAGCCACTTGTAAAAAGGTTTGGCAAAATTTTTAAAGTCCAGAAGTTATGCTTTCTCTTCTGTACAGCTGAAAAACGATAAGATGCTGACAAATGCTGTATTGATGGTTTGTTTTAGGAAGGAATGTCCAACAGCCAGTTGCCTCTTGATTTACAAGGAGTAGACAAAGGCTGTTGATGAAGGTGAACACTCAGCCCTTGAGCCCTGCTGTCCTATCCATAAAAATATGCACAATGCCAGTTAGACTGGAAAGGACACCAGCAGGCGTGAACGTTGTTAAAAAATAATTTGTTATTGTTTGCTAAAATATGCTGTATTTATCCCTGTCTCAGGATTCAGCCTTGGTCTGGCTGAGCCCATGAGTAGCATCGTTTCTTCCCTAGCCTGGCTGCCATTCTTTACCTTCCATTGCTCCTTTTCCTTTACTCTGCCTGTTATGATCTTCCTGTTAGATTAAAAAGGAGAAAAAGATAGATACTCATTCATCAATATGTGTATATTAAAATTGGAGAGTCTGTCTGCTTCCGTGTACCTTGCATTTTGATCATGCAGGAAATTAATTCAATTCATCAGTATGTCTCATCAAGGTGTGGGGTTCTTTTTCCCCAGTAAGCTGCAGTTGGTGTTTTTATCAGTGTATATCACAGTAATGCTTCCAATATAAGAAAATGTTGTCAATGTGTTTTTCATGCTACCAAAAAAAAAAAAAAAAAAGCCAAAAACAAAACCAAACCCATAGTGGACAAAAATGCAAATGATATTTGGGCAGTACATTGTATCAAGAGTTCAAAACAAAACTTACTGAAACACCTTAATGTTTTTTGCAGTATAGTATTAACAACTAGTAAGAAAAGTAACTAGCAGGAGTAACTTGTAATCACAGAAATGGTTTGGGTTGGAAGGGACGTTGAAGATTACAGTGCTCCAGCCCTCCTTCCTTAGGCAGTGGAGTCAGAGTAGTTATCCAAACAAGAAATTAAAGTATACAGGAGACCCGGTCTACTAATTTTGGAAGATCATCTCTGTTTCTGACCCCTTAATTTAATTCCCGTAAACACCCACATAAAATCAAAACATGAAGCGATTCAGATGGGGATTTCCTTTATCCTATCCAAATGAGTCTTTTCTTTGGCAATATTATACAGCCCTAGGTTGTGTTCTGCAGTGTTACAGCTAGCTGCAGCCACAAGCTGGACTGTCTGCCAGTTTCTTGTGTTTTGGGTATTAAATAGATCTGCAATCTCATGTACAATAAAAGAAGTCTTTAGCAACAGCAGTGTCTTTGGTTCTGTAGCAGTTCTCTACACCTTGTGGTTTGTCCTTATTGATCATCTTTCTGTTTCAAAAAGCATGCCTGTGCTCTCTTTGCAATTGCAGTAGTATACCAAATATCAAAGACTTCAATATTTGTAGTAAAGTGACTTGAAAAGAGAATTGCTGATGCTGATAGCCTTTTCATTTTTCAGTCATTCCCCCCTTTTTACAGGGAAAAATAGAAATATTTAAAAAAAATGTGCATTGTGAATGTGTGTAGACCAACTCTTTTAGCAAGCTGTGCTGCACAGTAAATGAGCTTTTCTATGTATATGTATAAACTGTAAGGCAGATGACAAGGGTGCAGAATTTGTTAGCTGAGTGTGATGGAACAAAAGTTTGCCATGCTGTCAGCAGTGTTGTCTGTACTGACACACTGCATGGGCATGAAAGCCTATTAGAGGCATGAGTTATCATAATAGACAACAGCTGACATGTCACCAACATATTGCTGAGTAGCTTTGGCTAAGCAGTATCCTGCATTTCTGGGGAGCTGAGGTGGCTGTGTGCTTCTAACATGCCTTGCTCTGGCATGGCTGGGGGGTAAGCTTCACAGATCTCCCAGTGTTATTTTAAGGTCAGCAGCCAAGGTTGCTGTTCTCCAATCCTCTGGCTTTATCCTCTAGTGCTAATCAGCTGTTACCACATTTTGTGTTTTGAAAATTACACATTAAAGCCACTTCAAGAAAATCCTGAGTTTTTGATTGTTGTCCTTTTGGAACTTTTTGGTCTCTTTGTTTTCTCCTTAGTTTCACTGTGGAAGGAAGTACCATAGCAGCTGCTCATGCTGTTGCTGAAGAATCTACAGCAGGATTATAAAGCTAATTGTTGCCTAGCTGGCATCTGTCAAATGCACTTCATTGCACATTGCTGTATATACCTTGTAATGACAGCTGCAGAGGTGAACGTTTGGCCCAGTTTTTATCTGAAGTTTGAAGATGGCACCTCTTATCTGATGGGTGAACTGTGGGAAGTTTGATTGGAAGCTGCAGAACATTTTCAATTTGATCATGTCAGTGACCAATCCTTTAATGTGTGGAACCTGGCATTTGTGCAAACTGTGTAGAGTACTTAGGAATAGTAAGCATGTATGTCACAGATAGTCCTTCTCCCATTACCTGCGCACAGCTTTTATCACAGAGATAAAAACAAAAATATTGACTTAGGGAAAAGTTGGCTGATTTTTTTTTTATTATTGTTCTTTAACTGTAACAACTGCCTTCAAGTTACTAGGAAGTAATTTACTGTATGTATGTAATGTTAAGCTTGTATGTTTCTTATTTTATAACTGAATACACAGTTACTTTCTTTATAACGAGTGTTTGATGCTCATTTATTCTTTTTTTTTTTCTTTTTTTTTTTCCCATTAGATTAGCCTACACAACCCAGAAATTAAACTGGAATCATTAAAAGAAGATATTAAGGATTTTCTGAAGACATCAGGTTTGTAATACTTCAGATAATTAAGATGTGAAGTTGTTGGCACTTCGACATGGAGACGGTGTTAATTCTGGATTGTGTGAGGCATTGTGGAAATACACACAAAACAGTAGGTGAGAACTTTATTAAATTATTAAACAGGATAGAGAAAACAAACGGGTAAAATGTTCTTGTATTGTGGCAGCATATGAACATGTGATGCAGAAATACGATATTGCCATTTTACAGGATGCTGGTAATATATTCTTTTTATGAAAGTTATGAATGAAACAAGTTCAGGCCATTTGGTAAATGGAAATTAGCATTTATGGAGGCCCTCTTTGAAATTTTACCCTTTGGTAAATTTTTATTGGATGTTGTAGGCTATATTGCTCTATAATGCGGAGATCTGATTATAAGTGATGTGTGGTTTGTAATCACCAGGAACACTATTTCTATTAACATTTATAGTTGTTTTGAAAATATGATGGTTTCAGAGGAATAGCTTATAATTGTTTAACCGAAGCTGTATCATAATTATTTGAACAGCAGATGGAAATAAAGGATATTCAACCTTTTTTGTAGACTTTAGCTTGTAGTTTTACCTACCTTTATTAGGTTAAGGTGTCTCCCTCTCTTCCTGTCTGTCCAGTACATAGACTTGAATTGAGACAGGACAGAAAACTCTAGCAACTCTAAAGTAACCTCTGATTTGTGTTCCATTAGTATTAATTTCTTAAAATTGTCCAATTTCTTTTTTTTTGTTGTTTCTTTGTTTCTTTAATTTGTATTTTAACAGGTTGGGAAAAGAAGCTTCAGAATGCTGTTTATAGTGAACTCAATGTGTGAGTTTAATTAGCATGTTAATTTATTAAGTTCTATTTGCATGATTTCCTTTTCATTCCTTTGTATATGAAGGTGTGTGATGTGTTGCTATTGTGTACAAAGTCTGCCATATCAAGGATGCCTGCTTTATTTCTGTTTGTCGTTTCTTTTTCATCCTAGTGAAAATGCTGGACTCAGATGTATTTTCCCATACTTCTAAACATTACTTTAATAATTTTTTTGTTGTTTTACTTCCAGAAGTACCAAAATTCATAGTGTAATTCTGTTGTAGCTGAGGAGTTATTGCAAATGAATTAGAAATTCTTTTCAGATGTTTAGAACAGCATTATGTGTTCAAATACCTTTAAGATTTTACATCTCTAGACATAGCAAATCAATGTCGTCACATTTGTTATGGTTATAAATACAGTGAAATTTGAGAAATTTTTACTTTATTATTGTTTAGCTCACTTTGAATTAAATTTCTGGGAAGTACAAATGTCTTTTACACTCTGGCAATTCACAAAGGCGAATTAATTGATACACTCAGCCCAAACTGCAATTATCTAATAAAAATCGTTTATGTAAACATACTCCTGCTAATTTAACTAAGCTTTTTACACTTAATAGTTTTGAGCAGTCTGTCTTCAGAGTACAAGGGTCTTGATTCAGCAAAGTACTGGTATGTGTTACCAGTTAAAATAATTCAAAAAGTACTACTTGTTTTTATTTTTGATAATCATATGCAGTGTTTTTATTATTTTTTTTTTAATTCTCCTGAAAGAAATTATGTTTAGGCTTATAGATAATTAATAAAGCAAAATAAAAATATGGACATTGAAAGTATACTGTATTTTCTTCAAGGTTTCCTTCACCGTGTCATCCTGCAGCACCTCCTGAGCATATGAAGGAACCTTTGGCTTATATGAGGAAAGCACAGGTTGGTTGTTATCAATTTTACAGTTCTCATATAATCTTTGGTTAGACTATTTCAAATTTATTTTAATTTTATTAATCCAATTTTAATGTTACTGTGCAATTTCTAGTGTTTATACCTTAGGAAAAATAAGGATTTGTACCTATGTAGAGTTTAATAATAATGTTGTATATGTAACATATTACATACATACCATAAATGCTCAAGTAATTCTCCTGCTATGGAAGAAGTGGGATGTAGTGGCAGGTGGGTGAATATTTTAGAAGAGAGATTACATGAAGCATATAAAGTAGGAGAGTTTATTTCTGTTGGGAGAAAGATGTGTAGATATAGGTCATTTCACTTAGGATTACAAAAATAATACATAATAAAATATATAATATATATTTATATAAATAATATTATATTAGGTATACAAAAATATTATCTGAAGAGATACAGGTAGGCAGTTTGGCAGTGAAAGACCACAAACTGCATAGATACTGAGAGCAGAAAGAAGAAAGATATTCAATAATTGGAAATTGGAAGGAAAAGTTAAAGCTTTAGAGCTAAGGAGCTTAAGGAACATTGAGGGGGAGAATGAGAGAAACAGGGCTGTAAAGGATTGAACAAGGATTTTGGTACTGGGGAAGAATATTTCTACTTCATTGGATTGTTTCATCCCCGCATGCTATTTGAAATAAAATCTTGCATGAACCTTTTGAGGTTTTTTTTCTCCTTTCCATTTTTAAGAGTATGATCCAACCAGAATATCAGAGATAAAGGTAACATTGTGTTTCACGCAGCCGTGCATGGAAATACATTGTGATATTCTTTTACAAGTTATTCAACAAATTGTGTTACTTTTTCAATCATATTGTTGCTTGTTGCAGTAAGCCTTATTGTGCTGCTCTGCGTTTTCTGTCTTTAGCATGTGGGTATAAAGATTGTATTAAACAAATTTACTACTGTGATGTGGAATGTAATGCCACAATTTACTGTCTGAAAATAATCACTCATATCAATGATTGCTGACATAAAAAACACACAAGTACTTATATACGTGTTTATGTATGTGTTTATTTGTCTGAACCAGCTTAATTGGCTATTATTTCATAAAAGAGTATGTAGTGCTTAGATAGCACAATATTTCTGATACAGTGTGGAAAGGATGGTTTTTCTAATAGTTTAGGAAAGATAAGGAGAAGTTCTGTGTTTACTCATTTCAAAGTTTCACTTACTGTCTCGCTCCAATTTATAGGAGGGAGAGGAGGTTCTTTTATTATCTATATACCCGGCGTGAGATTAAGAAGCAACGGTTCAATATTATAAAAATTACTACAATCAGGAGAATATTTTTTACAGCCATACTCAACCTGTTTTGTTTATAGAAGAGAAGGTAAAGGGATGACTTGATTTGGGGAAAAAAATGTTACTGATAAAAGATAACTACTGTGTTTGATAGAAAATATCATAAAATATTGTAAATGGAAGCGAAAATAAAGCAATTATAGGCAAGACATAATCTTTTTTTTATTATTATTTTTTTATTTTTTATTATTATTATTTTTTTTCCTTAAAAGAACATTTGAACTTCTGCCCTTCCCTTTATTTGCTTCCTATCTAATAAACTGCAGCCCATTTTTGGACAGAAATTTAAAAAGCTTAAATGGTTAGATGGTATCTAGCTGTTGTCAAATTTGTGCCTAGAGTTAATTACAAATAATAAATAGAGTTAAATGAAATTAACAGGAGTCCTTACATTCATTTGGTTGAAGCTTGACTCATCATCTGCAGAAAACGAAATTAAATATAAAACCCACAGTGCAGCTGTAATCATGGAAGCAAAATCCAAAGCCAGTTGACTAGGAAGTCAGTACTAGTTGGCATTAATTCCAGGGGAATTATCCACAGATCAGGCCACAGAAGTGAGCTTGACATCTAATGCAATAATCAGAAAAATGTGATTGTTCTTTAAGCTGTCCATTTGCACTTGTGGAATTTGTCATCTGTTGATGCATAAGGAAGTACTAGGCTTATGTCATAAATCAGTGACTGTGAAATGTATGCTTTTTAGACATCTAAAGTTTGGGGAGTTCATTTTTCTGGTTCTTTCTGATGATGTAGTTGATGAAATCCGTTTCCTCTGTTGTTTCTATTTAAACAACCGTGTAAACTTTCCCTTAATGCTTTTGCAAGTGTCAGTGGTTCTTGTTATCATTTCTTTATATATGAGTTTAGAAAGCTGCTTATTCTCAGGCAAGGCAAAATTGGAGAAAAAAATAAATTTTATGTAATTTAATTTTTTTGTGCGTTTCAGGGAAGCTGGGAGAAGCGAATTCTAAAAAGTCTAAATAGTATGTGCACGGAACTCAGTATCCCACTAGCACAGAAGGTAATGTATTATGAAATTTCCATTGCCAAACTGACGTATTTTTTCCTGAAATTAAGCCTGGTCTTGCATTTTTTGTAGTGTTCATTTTACACTTGGTTATCAAGAGCTGCAGGACTGCTCTCCAAAATATTTTAATACAGAAAATAATTTTCAGACTGTATGCTTGAGCTGAGCTTGAGAAGATGGCAGTCTATAGGAGGATCTTCCTCTGCTATTGCAGGAATTAATCTCTTGAGGGAGCAACATGTGGGAGAGCTAATTGCTATGTTCATTGCTTTTAACAGAATGTTTTTATTGCTTTTAACAGAATGTTTTTGTGTGCAGACACAGCTGTATAAGATACAGCTGCACAGCCTATAGATAACGTGAATGTATTTTGTTTGCTGCATCATATGTGCCCAACTTGCTGGTTGTATGTGTTTCCCTCCCCCTTTTTTTTTAAAAAAAAACAGATTTTCATAAAAACATAAAGTTTGAATACTTACATACTTTAACTATATTATATATTTTGTATGTGGCCCAAGACAATTCCTCTTAACTCAGTGTGACCCAGATAAATCGAAGGGTTTGACACCGTTGCAACTGATACTTAGGAGAGAAAGATACTGAGACAGAATTACTGGCTCTCTTTGACAATCTGCATTTTTTTCATTATTTATTTAAAAGCCTTAATTTTAAAGACCAAAGATCAGGATAATAATGTTAGAATGTTTCATTCTTTATTTATTTTCCTGCTACCATATATAGAATTTTTGATACAATATATAGTACTTTGGTTTTCTCTACAATATGGTTCATCATCAATGATAAAAATGCACTTGGTTTTGCTTTTCATGACTGTGCCACAGATGGGAATTTGAGGACAAAGTCCAGAAGCTCCAGCTCTAGCTCAGTAATATGAATCTGACCACCAAATAGCCTAAAATTCATTAGTAAATCCATAAAACTGTTTAATTTCTACCTTTCCTTTTTTTCCTGGAACTGGAGCCTGGGACTTTCTGCAGTTGTTAGCTTGGGATTAGTTTTTAGCAGAGGAATTTTGTGTTGCTAGTGCAGCCTGATTTTAAAAGTGTAATATTCACTTACATATTTGAAATAGGCATGTTTTTACTCATTTTGTTAAAAAAAAAAGGAAGATTTTCTTTCTTGGTTACTTTCAGAGGCCTGCAAGTGAGCAGAAAGAGCTGCTTAATAAATGGAATGAAATGGGAACTGACGAACCAGGTAAGATCAACTAAATTCACATGCATTAATTCTTGGTGCGTTAATAAGTCAAATACACGTTATTTATCAACTAGAGATTAATATAATCATTTCAAGGTAAACAGATTTCAGTCTTTTTTTCTAATTTATAATGTTTAACTGTGCGTAAGTATTCATTTTATTGTAATTTTGTTTTGAGTTGCTGTGCTAATTTTGAGTCAGCTCTGGGAGTTTATGGTATAATACTCCTGATTCCAATGGTTTAGAGATTCATAAAGCAAATACATGTCTCTTTTTAGTGTAAAATCAGGCTAAGAAGAAGAAAATATTCAGAACTATGGATAATTAAGCTCAGACATTTTGTTAACAAAAGATAACACCTGCACAGAATAGCCATGTTAACATTTGGGAGAGCAAGGCTAACCAAGTTCATTCACACCCAGGCTCCTCAGAAGAAATTATTTTGCAAAGGTAATGATTTGTATCTCATGGAGTACTATCTACACAACAACAAATACATTTCATGGATTGTTGATGACAAGTCCTACTTTTTATTTTACTAAAGCAAATTTCATTCTATAATCTACAGTGTTTTAAATAATCTTTTAAGAATATCATATCACTTTTCATGTCTGAAAGGGGCTCAGTGTAAAAGCTTATGTGAAAGCAGTAAAAAGTTTTCTAGGACTAATGTTCAATTAAATACTTGGGATTTAGAAAGCCAAGGCACTGACTGATAGCATAATCTTGGAGAATGTGTAATAGTTCTTAGCATGATATTTGGGATGATGATGATGTTATTTTAAAGTTAGTTGTAAGACATTACTGAAATTGCTACATTGTGTTACATGTATAAGAAAATTGCATGTGTATTTCATCTCTTTTAGCTTTAAGGTACCATAATTGAAATCTTATTTCAGATCTAAGTCTCTTCAGGCCTGTTTATGCACCTAAAGATTTTCTTGAGGTAAGAATTCATGAAACAACTCAGCAATTGAATTGCATCCATTACATTTTTTTTTATGTGAGGTGGAAAAAGCGTTTTTTAAGTCTCAAAGAGACAAGTAAGCAGTACAATTTGCTATTATTCTAAAAAAGCCCAATTGGTATGATAGAGATGATTGTCCATGGAGTGAAACAATAGAAAGTTCATAAACAGTATTTGCAGAACCTTAGATTTTTATTTTCTGAGTGGATGTCCATATACATATTTACATTGAGACTAAGTGCTACTATTACCAGGGTCCCAGAACAGTCTGTGAGGCCAACCCACACAGATCCCTTGCACTTGTGGATAGCCTTTACAAGCCTCTCTCTCCTACAAGGTCCTTCCCTCAATCAGATTAGCCTTTGCGCTTTCTTCAGGACTTTTTAAGACAGTGTCTGATTTGACCATTAATTAAGGTTAACGTATTTTATGAGAGTGGCTCTAAAGGCACGTGGACTCTTGTTTGTTACTCTATACAAACTTACTCTTAGTAAGTTTAATATAATAATAAGTAATATCCATATAGTCTTACTCTATGGATAAGACTAAAAAAGTGAAAATGCTTGTCACATACATGCATGCACTTTGTATTCTCTTATTGCCAGTGGGGCTTTAAGAATTCTAAAGTAGATTAAAATATTGAACTGTTAAGGTAACTTCTTATGTTATCCAGCACTTGTAGAAGTGGTGGAGATATTCTTAAATCTTTTAACTGCTGCAGTTCTAGTTCAGCAACAATAGAAAGATCAATGGTGAGCAATAGTCTCTAAAAAAGAATGAGCTGTGTTGATATTAACAGGTTGCAGTGCAGTAGAAGTGCGTTTGTAGAGTAGAAGAGTTGGTGCAGCATTCACAGTGTAGATTTTTAGGGGTCTTACTTTAGCTAAATTCCAGTCTGATTACTTCGACTGCCTGCCAGTCTATGACCAGAATGCATCAAATGTGCTAAAGGTACATCTTGGTTGTGATGTTAACCAAGCACAGTAGTTGGAAAAGGTCCAGAGATTCTCTTGTGAAGTCTCACTCTTTTTCTGAGATAAGTTGGCCGTGTGGGTACATCTGCAGCAGGAGTTCATGCATTTATCAGATAACTGGACAAGGCAGACAGTTGAACTGCAAGAATGATGATTCTGTAGTGATTAATACATTTCTAACATGTTTGCACTGGTATTTCAGACAAATTGGCATTTATAACAAGTGAAAATGGACACATTTTATGATTCCAGGTATTGTTTACAAAACAAAGTGCTGTTCTCTTTTTTTTTTTTTTTGTTAGCTGTAGTTTTAAATTATATTTGTGACCTTCTGTTTCTCCAAAAAATAACCTGATTTAAGCTAACTTTTCCTCTGAAAGCAGTTTCCCAACTTATTTCATAATTAATTATAAATATTAAATTGCAATACATGAAGCTGCTTGACTGATTGGTGTTTGAAATTTTAGGTCATATAGGATTGTGAAAAATCAAACATTAGATAGAAATGTTTGGAGTTGACAGGTTTTGGTCTATAATCAAACAAAATCGTTACAAAGAAGAAATTACATGATTGTCAAGACTTAAAAATCAGAAATCAAGTGTAGAATGTATATATAAAATAGAACTTACTTTATCAGCTGTATTTTAATATAGAACAATAAATTTGCTGTCATCAACAGTACTTAATAACAACACAGTAGGAGGTTTGGGATTAAAATAAGATGGAAAATAAAATGTACAAAATCCTCAGTTGTATATCCTGCCAGTTGTACAGGAACCACATCATCAAGAACATGACAGAATAGAATTTTAGAGTTGAGATAATCTTCTCATTTAGTCGCGTCAATCTAGATCAGTCAGGGTCTAGATCAGTCAGAGGTTAATGTATTTTAATGTTTGAAATGATTCATTATAAGTTTCGTGGAATGTCTTTTGTAGTGTAGAGAAGACTGATTGTTAAGGGTGAATTGTTTCATGCTTATCAATTGTAAATACATTTCTGAATCCTACAATAAACATGATATTCACTTTATTACTTTTCTTAAGGGCTCCTCTTTTCAAGTTACTCATGTCAGAAAATTTGATTAAACAAATTTTAATTTATTCTGTTTTCCATCACTGCACTAACAGTCATGTTGTGCATTTAATCTTGAATCTGCAAACAAATCCATTTTCATTTTAGACTTATGTAGTGACTTTCTAGGTCACTTTTTTTTTTTTTTTTTTTTTTTTCCTAAGACTGTTTTCTTTCCAGAATTCTCAGTTTGTTTCATTAATCTTTTAATTTACCAGTCTGATGGTGAGTTTCCATGGTATTAGAATATTTAAGACTGAGAATTGTAGAAATAGAATGTTGCAGAATTTCATAAAAGCTGGAAATTTACCTTTGAAGAAATCTTTGCCAGCTTAACATTATAATATTAAAACATATATAATAATAGTATATGTCAGATTAAATTCTTTTCTATATTCCAGTTATTTACCTTGACATTAAGTTCTTCTCTTTTAAATTTTATCCTTACTTCAGATTTTTGATTTTGTAAAAATAAAATAAAATAAAATAGAAAAACTTAAATGGAATAAAGTATTTGGAGGTTTTGTTATTTAGTAAGAAAATACTGTAGTAGCAAACTGTACCTCATTTTGATTCAACACTATGTAGGATTGCCAGTGCAAAAGCACGAATAAAGATTCTTTCAGAAAAGCAGTAGTGCTATAGAATATCCTGGATACTGTAGCCATCAGAAAGATTCAAATAGCTTTGCGAAGGAAGCTAATTTTAGTGAAGAGATTTGTATGTAGCCAGCTCTTAGTCTCATTTATGGAAAATGCTTTCTGCTTTTTTATGTCATAAATTGAGCTTACTTTTCAAAGTGGAGTATGTTTGTTCCCTGAAAAAGTTGGCTTCTTTTTCTGTTTTGAAAATGTAGAGTTTGATAATTTGGGCCTGTACATGTAGTAGTTGTGGGAAATGGTTGTATGCCAAAGGTACAGTTTGCAGTGTTGATTTTGGGAACAGTTCTGAATGTAAATTTCCAAGTATGTGCAAGGAATGATGGAGCTGTCGTTTTTAAGGTCCTGATGAATCTTCGAAACCCAAATTATGAAAATGGAGAACAGCCTAGTTTCAGAAATCATCTGGGGCTAATTCAAGTTCCTCTAAAAGTTAAAGATATTCCAGAATTGGTAAGTATATTCTTTCTTAACAGTAAGTTTCTATAAAAATAATTTTGCCTTGGTGATGAATGAGAATCTATACAACAATGCAGTATATTAAAACTGAGGTAAGTTTTTCCTTTTGTAAATGAAAATTGGCATGAACACAAAGTGGATCGCTAGTTAAAATACAACGTAGAAAAATTTTGTGATAAGACATTCTTAATGACAAAGAATATGTAAATGCTAACTTGTCAGTCAGTTGGGAAATTTTCATTTTGTGCCACGCAGCTGTTGATTTGATATATATGCTCATGCATGTTTTCTTAACTTTTTGTCAACGGTTTACGGGCTGGTTCGGCCCGGTTCTGTGACCAGCGGGGCGGAGGGATCCACAGATCCGCGCCTCCGGAAAAAGGGGAAACAGGGGACCCCAAAATAATTGAAAACAGCAGCACCGATCTGAGGAGAAACAAACTAATTTACTAAGTATGGTATCGGAATGCAAGAGAACACACCATAATACAATATAATTAGAATTGAAGCTAATAAATCAAATATAATGAGAGAATGTCTGAAAGGTGGATAGGCCTCACCATAAAGCTGAGGTGAGATGCGCAGTCCAGTTGAGCAGCAGGGAGACAGGAGCAGCGCCCACAACGAAGGCAGACGAAAAAGAGAGCATCAGGTGACCTTGCCAGGAATTAAACCTCCTCTCCCTGAGCGCAAAGTCCCCTGGGGAATGTAGTTCTCCTTCTCTTCTGGGCAGGTACCCAGGACTTGAGCATTGACAGTTAAACTCCCAGTGTCCCACATGATGTTATGATGTGGAATACTGAAAACCAAGAATCACAAAACCATGACACTTTTTTTTTATGAAAAAAAAAAAAACCAAACTTCTGACTATTCAATTTATCTTAGTCTCTGTTTTATTTGAGCTGCACAAGATCAGTTAACCTGGCATTCTGATTTTCTTAAATTAATTTTCAATCCTGTTATAATTTCAGACTGTAAATGAAAGGAATTTGAATGTAAGTCTCATTGCTGGACGATAGGAGAGCTATTCTTAATGCCCCACTCATAAGGTTTGTCAGCATTTTGTGCCAATAGACAAACTTGCATCTGGGTTGAGAAATAGCTCGGAATTAGAGATCATTAACATAATGTTTCATGTTCCACTTTATTACATCCTGGCATAGCTCATAGGCATCTTGAAAACTGAAATGAGAGTAAGGATTGATGTGCGATTCCTCTCCTTTTAAAGACCTGAGCTCTTATGTCATAAATATGCATTTAAAAGGAATACGTTTTGTGGAGAAAATATTTGCATTTAGACTTTCAGAAGAATTCTTGTGATTTAGGGAATTAAATGCTGTTAATTTCCTTTTTATGGTTTTGTTTCTTTTCAGAAAGAAGACTTCAGTGAACTAGACTTAAACATAGGACAACTGGGTATTGATGATTCAGCACAAGTGCCTCCTGGTTAGCTAATGCTGTGCTTCACTCATTTAGTTAGAACACTAATGCATAGAATACTGTGCAAATATCAAATAATCTGTGTATTTCTTTCACAAGAAACCATAAATGTTCGGTTTGTAGTAATTTTCCTTAAATAATAGCATTTCAAATACTGAGGGGTCAGATTTAAAGAGATGTAAAATAGTCAGCTTCACTTGAAAGTAAGTTTATTTTAAGAATTTGAACACTGCAGAAGAAAACTGCCTGTTTCCAAAAATACAGAAAATACAGAAAAATCTTGTCAACCCTGTAGTGTGACACTGTTAATATATGTACATGTAAATGGATTCTATTATTTTTCCTTGTCTTCAGTTATACCAGTAGAACTAAGCCTTAAAATGGTGTTTTACACAAAAATGAAAAATACTATATTATAAAGTTATTTTTCTTTTAAAATGGAAATTTACCCAATTAAAAGTCTTAGTTCCTGTAGCACAGTGCAGCTTTTGTATTTTTGTCTCTCTGACCAGAAGTTGTTTAGTATTATTCCTTGAAAAAGAACACTGATGCTGATGCAATTTAATTTTAGTGCCTTCACATTCAGCTTATTTCTTATTGCTAGAGATATGTAGAAAAATACAGAATAGTGTACTCGTTTTTTTTATTTTCTTGTCTAATATTTGCAATTCGTCTTTATTTCTTAATTTTCTAGAGTTCTTTGAAAATGAGCATGTACGTGTTGGACAAAAAGGTAGGTAGGCATCTATTTACATCTGTAAAATAAACAAAAAAACTGATTAGTAACAAATACATCCAGTAATTTTATATCTCATACATCTTTAGAATTTTAACAACTTAGGCAGACTAGAACAAAACATAGTCAATAATAACATTGTAATTTAAACAAGGATGGAAAAGGAAGCATCGCAGACTACCAGTAGCTATCAGATAAATAGTTCCACAGATATTTCATTAAAATCAAATAGGAAGCATAGACAGCAGCTTTTTGGTGATAACTTAGGTCACTGCTGAATTTCATTTTAAAATCAAAAGGTTCTGGACTCCTTTCCGTGCATACACAGTTCTCATTAGTGTAATGGGTTTTATGTCTGCATCAGAAAAGAATGTTTTAATGTTTATTTGCAACTGCAGAACTTGTTAAATATTGCAGTACTTAACCACCATGTATACACCTTTTTTTCTGAAAATGTTCAGGAGTTTCCTTGAAGGATGAGAAATGATCTGGAAAAGAATAAGCATTTCTTAGTTCAGATTTGATTTTATAAGCATACATACAATGTTTGAAATCCAGCAATACCCATTAGTTACTGTACCTTGTGATTCCTTTTAAACTTTATCAAACACAAAAAGGGGGTTGATGCAATTCCAAAACTCCTTCACTCCCTTTTGTTGTTTCATTGACCAATCAATGATCTTTCTATTTTTCCTCTCTTTTTGTGGTTCTTAGTTTGTCCATTGTCTGTTCTCTGTTCCAGTGCAACTTATTAGGGTACAGTCCATCTCCCTCTTCATAGAATCATAGAATCACCAAGGTTGAAAAAACCTCAAAAATCATCTAGTCAAGCTGTCCACCTGCCACCAATATTTCCCACTAAACTGCGTCCCTTAGTACAACATCTAAATGTTCCTTGAACACCTCCAGAGACAGTGACTCAACCAGTTCCCTGGGCAGCCCATTCCAGCACTTGACCACTCTTTCAAAGAAGTATTTCCCAATATCCAAACTGAACTTAGCCTGGCCCAACTTGAGACCATTCCTTCTAGTCCTATCACTAGTTATATAGGAGAAGAGGCTGAGCTCCTCCTCATCACACCCTCCTTTCAGGTAGCTGAAGAGCTATAAAGTCTTCCCTGAGCCTTCTTTTCTACAAACTAAACAATCCCAGTTCTTCTCTATTTTGTCCCCTAAAAAATCTCTATTCAAGCCTTACTGAGATTTAAACCCCCACACAATGTAATTTTTAATGCTCATCTCTTGTCTGTGTAGAGCAGGCTCTATTACACAGATTGTCTTAGCTTTGTATCTGTGCAAAGACACAGAATCTTGTAAAACTGCAAGCTAAAGGCTTGACCGTGAATATTTAAGTTCATTCAAAGGAAATCTTTCTCCATGCTCCATTGGATATTGTTTATGACCTTGCATGTCACAGATGCATTGATTTTTCTCTTATGTGAAATATTATTTAGTGTGAGGAGCTGCCATTATTGTATTTTAATTTGTAATTCCGTAATTATATTGAAAAACTCATCTTGTATGTGAAAAAGCTATTTTTTTCATACTTTGTGTCTCAGTAAAAAATGGCAAGGTAAACACGCTGTGATGAGTCACAGTCTTTTCTGAAGTTTTGTGGGAATTGCAGGAATGTCTTTCAATTTTGCTCTTTAGGGGAAGAAAAGGAGATCACACAACATCTGTGTTAGAGCTCTACAGGCTAAACAAAAAATTGGCAGACCAGTCCATTCAGTACGTAAAAAGCAAGGAAAAAAGAGAGGAATCAATTCAGTAGGTTTTTGAATCTGACTTCATCCTTCCATTACAAGACTGATATGGTGATTTTAGTATACAGTTAAATTTAGAATAGCAAGTTATTTCTGAGACTGCTGAAAAATTGGAGGATGCAGATTTGAAAGCGTCTCACTACCAGAAAAGTATTGATCTGTGGGCAGTTAAGTTTTTTTGTTCTTACTACCTATCACAACTTAGTTTTTTAATCACACACTACTAATCAAGCTGAAAAATCCAAAATCAATTTGAGTATCATAATTGCCTCAATGATATCAATATTTTCCATCTTGAAATTTATTTACATTGTGGTTCACAGTACTTTCTAAAATATTCTAACACTTTGCAAAAGTCAATCAGCTCACAGAAATATTCTCCCAAGCCCATCTCTAGATAGTTAACATCAAAATAGGGGCAGTAAGAAAACAGAGTAAGTAGCAATCTCGTATTTGATGTAAGATAACACTCATACTGGAGTATTTTATGGCTATATATGATCGCGTGTTCCACTTGGTGTCAGCTGCAACTGGGCTTGAGTAAAGACATCTAAGTGCTATTCCTCTGTTAACGACAGAATTTTGATTGTTTTCTTTCCCAAAGAGCTACTTCAAAACTGAATCGTGGAAACCAGGCCTTTTAGATATTTTCTCTTTAGTTAATGTTTACAACATGCTAAACTAGACGGTTCACCCTGTTCCTGAATCTTCATGTTATATGTTTATAGGGCTAAACTGCACTCACACTATCAAATGCTATCTAGTACTAACCTTACTCTCTTGCATTCTTTATTACTTGCATGTATGTGATTTATTTGTCAAATAGATGTTTGAATTCTTTGCTTATAACAAATATCACCTAAAGCAAATATTTCCAAATGATTGCTTGCACAGAAAACTGTGATAAGCTACATAAGCAGAAAAAAGGAAGGCATTAAATTTCAATGAAATGTGTTTCTTTATAATACAATTTTTTTTTTCTATTTTTATTTTTGAATCCAGGCTAATGTCCATTTCAAATACATAGAAATGTTACAGAACTCTGTTATTTTTGGTATACATTCGATTTTTAGTACTTATAAAATAGCAATTGAGAAATAAGGAACTTGATAGCCTGATAAACTTTGGAAATCTTAAATTACTGTTGTTTATTGCTTGCTTCATTTTTTACAGTTTTAGCAGAACAAGATAGTGCTGCAGCTCAACAATATGTTCGTCAGGGATGTCCAACAGCACTCCGAGCTGATCTATGGGCCCTCATTCTGAATATTTCTGATCAGCCAGAGGTAAGGGACAAAGTGAGAGCAAAATGTGAAGGTGTATGTGTGTGAAAACACATTTTTTCTGTTCTTGAAAAAGATAATGAAATATTCTACTGAGTTTTCGCACTAACTGATACACATTCCTTTCAGAAACCTCAGTGTTGTGGTAAAGACTTTTAGGCTCTTCTCTAAGTATATAAGCAAAATACTATGGAACAGACTAATTATTTGATCTACCTAGCTTCTGAGCTTTTCCTTAATGGTGCTGACTTTCTTTCAGAGGAGACAAGAAAGAAGTCTCATAAAGATGAAATTCTCTGAAGTTTTATAAAAAGAAAACGCGTGTGCCTTTTTCCTGGCTGTTAGAACCAGTCATAGTCTGCATATACATATCTTGTAAATGGCTTTATATTTGTGGATTGTTTTCATGCCTGTTTGCACAGCAGCATTTTTTCATATTACTTTGTGAAGTCCTCAAGAATGAAATCTGTTGCAGTATTAGAAAATGATCAGTACATCTAGTATATTCATACCATAGGAAGTTAGATCCTTGTTTAAGTCATTTCAGAATTGTGACTATTTTGATGCAATATTTTGATTTCAATTAAAATAACATGCAGAGATGTAAGTTTAATCACAAATGTGGCATTTTTACTGTATTTCATGTCCTTTGAAGCTGTTGTCACTTTCTTACAACTCTGAGGCTGTAAGTACATTGATAAGATCTTATCCTTAAAAATAAACCTGAATCCTGTTTGTTGACAATTTACTTAGCAAGTATTTGTGCAAAAACAAGTCTTTATTAAAATTATTTGGCCTGGAATTGGAATTACTTAGCTTATTCTTTTTTGAAAAACTCGAGCAGGCTTTTGTTTCTAGTAAATAAAGAAAGATTAAATCTTCTGTAGAAGGAGCTGTTGAAACAGTAACAAAATATTATAAATCTTAATCAAGATGCTTAACACAAGACTTTAGTTCTGTGAAATTATTAGATCAACTTGAAGTTTAGAAGTCTTTCTCTTTAAGAGAGCAGGAGTGTTATCATGTGAAATTAATGTTGTTGGTTAGACTGCATTTGTTTATATCCTGCTAAGTCCTGTGTGCTCTCAGAGCATCTTTATCTTAATGTAGAAAGTGAAATAGTTGAATAATAATAATAATAAAGTACAATGTTTTGATGACTGAAAGTCAATAAAATAATAATAATAAAAAGATAGAATATTTCACATTATGTTCATCTAAAGCATGAGCTAGTATGGAAATAAATTTATCAAAATCTAATTCCTGAAATTGATGTGGACAGCTCAACAGTTGCTTTTCTTTTTAAAGGGGAACAAGCTGTATTTTCACATTCTCCTTCAGGAGATATTCTACAGGGTTCAGAGCCTTAAGAATGATCTTATTTAGCTATACGTAGGGAATTACAGTGAGACAGTGCTTTGTGGTGCAGCTGAGGTGATGTCAAGTGGCTGGAGAATGAGAAACCTCAGGAAAAAATGGTAAGTGAGGATGGATGAAATGATGTAGAACTGCAAGTTTGTCAACAGCTTCAAATTGTTGAAATTAGGAACTGGAAAAGAGAGAAAAAAAAATCCCCCACATCCTTCCACATAGAACAGAAATGATTGTAAATGTAGAAAGATACACTATATTGGAGAATATCTACTAAAACACTGAGTTTACAAATGCTTGTATAGTATGCTAAGATGGCATTTTCCAAGTCTATTTCTGCATGATGTAGCATAGCGTTTGTTGTCCTGTGCTATAAGTTACAATTGCTTTGTGGATTTTGAGTGTGAAACGCATTAAAGGAATAGGCTTTCTGACAGAGAAACTTAGTAAATGCTTGTAGACTGGTGGGGTAGCACATGAGTTACTGTAGCTGTGTTATAAGCTGAATGCCAATAGTTGACTTGATGCTTTGTTAGTGTTTCACAGAAGTATTGATGTAACTATTGCCAGAGTATTAACAACCTGAGACTTCTTCCATATACACCTTCATTTTTTTTGCAAAATATAGCAAAGCAGTTTTCAGATGCTTGGGGCTGTTTTTTCAGTCTGCTGTGGGTTTTTTTAGGCTTTATTGGTTTGTCTAACACATTTTCCCCTTCTACCTCATATGTATTCTTTCTCTGCTAGAATTGAGTTGTGTGGTTGCAAGGATTTCTACTGTAATATTTTTGATCTCCAGTTTAGGATCTATTACATTTATAGACATGTGCATCTATAACTCAAAAGAATCATGATTTCCTTCTTTTAATCTGAAAGTTACAAGTGTTTGGTATGATAGACATTGTGTGTGCTAGCATCAAATATTGTTATTTGGAAAAAAGTATTCAATAAAGCTCAGCCTCTGTATAAAGCCAGTACACAGCCAACTAAGGGATAATACTGGCAAACTAGCAGTATAATTGGCAACTGTAAGTTCTGTGTAGTTATTTAGATGTTTTTAAAAACACTGCCTAGCAATGAATTGTTTATTAGTTTTCATTTGTATCTGTATGTTTTAGAGAAACTGTTTAAAAAGCATTTTTGAGGTTGAAAAGTCAAGCCTTTAAAAGCCTATCTACTACTATCACTTAGTAGTCTGTACAGTCAGTCCAATTTGCTGTGTGCGTGTGTGTGTGTGTGTATAAAATCGTATGACCTTGTGACTGTGTGATTCAGGTTTTCCTGTGGGGCATTTATCTCATTCATTGCACCAAACAGATGGCGTGCAGTTACTAAAAATCTGTTAAATACTCTTTTTCCCCCCTTTCTTTTGTTACCCTGTTCATCCACTGCACTCACATTCAAACAGTGCTTAGAAATTTTTTTTTCTTAAAATTTTCATACTTTTTTTTTTTTTTTTTGTACACTTTTGAGTTAACAGGTTGGAAATCTTAATTCTGAGAAGTCTAGCACAAAGAAATTAGTAACGCTTTACTTAATGCAGCTTTTACTGAGTGTAACTTTCTAGGTTTAAAAACATAATAAGCGAGTGAGGTGCAAAGTTTGTAATAGGGCATTATGTAGCAGCATGTAACATCAGTACAGCTATTAGGCTAAGGATCAGGAGCCTTAGATTCCCACTCAGATCTCTCCTGTTCAAAAAGCTGAGAACCTAGTAACGCTGTTGTCACTGTGACTGAGGATATATTTTACATTTCACAGGAGTCTACTGAAAAGGACTACAGCTTTGGATCATAATCCAAACAGTTCTTTGATTCATTATGAATAAACAAAACTGCATTGAAACTGGTAAACATGTGATATGAGCACTGTATTGCATCCATTATGAATCCTTTTTGTTCTTGTACAGAAGTCAGTTCTTTGTACATCCAGTAAAGTCGTTCCTTGCATATCAAAACACTAAATCTGTTCTAAGTCTGAATAAAGCAGCACAATAATTCAATTTAATGTCAAATTATTTTGACTGCTGAGATGAAAGGATCAGATATTTAAATGATTAGTTTTATTTGTGATTTTAAAAAATATTTTAATAATAGCAGGAAAATCTATGGACCCTGGTAAGCCAACATAAAATATAGTTTAGTAGTTTGCTAGTTATGAAGGGAAAAGGTTAGTGCAAAACACTGCTCTAGAGATAGCATTAACTGGTGCCTTGGAGCCACTGTTTAACCTCAACTAAGAGTATTTTTAGAAGAATTCTTGTTTTTGCATATAAATTGATAACGGTGTTCTCCATGTCTAGCAAAAGATAGCTCTTTGCCTTCACATCACTTTCTTCTCTGGAAGAAGCACTTCTGGAGAAATTAAAACAAGGAAATTGTAACAGAAAACATTAGATTATTGGAATCTCTTTCTCAGATTACAGTAAAGGGTGGTTGTTTCATCAAGTACCATTCAGTCATGAGCTTCATTTTGCCATTGTAGTAGTAGAAGTTACATTGTAGGTTTCCATCGTTTGTAAGATGCTTCTGCGCCACTGCTGGTAGGGAAGACAAGTTGTTAATTTTCTCTTTAAAAGAAAAGATTGCCTTTGACTTTCTGCTTAATGAGACAGAATGTGGCTATTCTGAATATTTTCCATCCAAGTTTAGTAGTATTCTAAAATTTTGTGGGTTAGTTATAAACCATTACCAATAATGAAGGGCAACTCCAAACTTTGTCATTAATTTGGGATGCATCCCACAGTAGGAAGTGTTGAGGAAAAATTCTCTGTTACAGAGTTTGGCTCAAATTTTCTCTCCGAGGCAAAATAGCTACAAAAACACTTTCAAAGGACATTTATTCTCAAGCGTAGAGCTTTGTGTCTTTCCAATTTCTTGCTTGTTTATCATGCTAGAATACCCAGCAATAGAAAATATATATTTTCATGGTTAAACAGGGACAGTTCTCACGAACACCTTTATAAAACATGTGCTCCAGCTAAAAACTGTTCATGAGCACATTCAGTAGTATAATCCATATTATCATTTTTTTTCTTTCAGCATGTAGTGGATAAGTAGGCAGCTAATGTGCATTTTGAGGCAGTCTTTACTGATAACACATGAAAAATTGTCAGCTGTAATTTGGGTATTATGTTGGCTCTAAATATTCTGCAGTTCAAATGTTAATGTGATATAATTTAGCTAGTTATTATTCAGTGAAATAAATGATGGCTATATCTTGTCTATGGTTGTTGGTTAGATTTTATTTTATTTAAACTTCTAGTCATGCTTTATAGAGTAATATTTTAAGATTCCTTGAAATAAAATGGAAAGCTGAGACCATTCCTTAAATTGCTACAACAAAGTCTGAAATAGATAGATAATTAGTTTTCAATTTAGAAATATTTTTCAATCTTTTCTAAAAGAATTGAATGATTTGATTCTTCTGATATACTTTCATATTTGAATGCCAGGTTTTGCTTTTATTCTTCTGATGTTATCTTGACATCCATCTGAGCTCTGTTTATGATTGAAATTGCCTCTAACCTTCACTTGCAGAGTCAGTTCAGGTGGATTTAGCATTCAGTTTGTTTTTGATGTCTGTTCTTTCTTTGATGCTGTGTTTATGTAAGGTTTCCTGGGAAACTGACAGATCCATCTGATATCACTAAATTAACTCTTCTCAATGCATTCGATGAAAAATTTGTTTTTAATGTTTTCCTTCAGTAGCAAAACAAGCACCAAGGAAAAAAGCTCAGCCTTGTGCTGTACAAACAAGTTCTAAATGATGAAGTTGTTAATGTTCTCTGCTGCTGCTTCTGTTTTCTAAACAATACATTATTGTTTTGGCTTTCAGAGTTGTAGCAGAATTCAGTTTGTTCAAGTAAAATGCAGACATTTGGGACTGTATTTGACTTACGTTAAGTAACTGGAATGGGATTTTATTGTATTTTTAAAAACGTTTTCTGTGTTTTATGCCTGAGAACATTGTAAAGACTAAAAATAATGTGGACTTACAACAGTTCTTTAATGCAACCTGATCTTTTTGGCTTGAAACTCTGATTAAATGTAAGCATAAATATACAGCATTTAAATATACAGCATTAGCTACATATACGTAGCAACTTAAAAGCTTGAATTGGCCTATGAGCATTAACTCATGAAGCTTCACAGATCATGAAACATAAACACTATTATCTCTGCCTCTGGGCAGGCAAGGCAAAGAGGTTAATAGATAAATCTGAAAAACAATGGGTGAAACATTTTTTATTTGGGAATTTTTAAGTAAAAATGTCACTCATTTGCTGTTCAGCTTTGAGGGCAGTAACTTCAGGTACTTCTCCTATTGACTTTACAGTTCTCTGAAGACGTAATCCATCTGGTCTAAATGCACAATTCTAGGGTGATTTCATCATCTGCAAGATTAGATGCTACTGAAGCATGATTTGTATTATCTTAAGCTAGTTAGGTTGTAAGTGATAGTGACTAGAAAGACAACACAGAAGAGTGGCTCAAGACATGATATTTGTACCATATATGTATAAAATATCCTTGGAGATATGCTTCTGAGCGTGACCAAAACTTCCCCAGCAAGAAAGGAGAGTTCTGTTAATCAGAGTTCTCCAAGCTGTGGTTTCCTGTTGGCCAGAAGCCTTTCAATTCTTGAAGAGGCTCAAGATGCACTTTTCTGGGGGGTTCCGTGTGGATTGTCACCATGTGAAGTAACACTGTTCTTGTCAGAGAGGCTTCCTTTTTCTGACTGGTATTCTGAGCCGCCTAACTCTTGCAATGTGTAAGCAGCCTGCGTGCCTTGAAACAAGCAATTTTTGCTTTATTGAATCTTACTCTAAACAACTGGCCCATAATTACATGGGTGCCTGATGACAATCAAGAAGAAATTTATCGCAGCTTCTTATGTTGTGCTGTCTAGTACAGCTCTCTACTAAAGAACATGTAATTATTTGAAAATTATTGATGAAGAACTGCTGATTCTAGTTCAGTTCTATCTCTATCGTGAGTTCTTCGAGTGATTATTTGTAAATAAGTTAAACTTTTTGTGTCTCATTTTTTGGTTTGTAGAAAAGGAGATCATAATGCTTCTGTTTGACTGCAGACTATGCTACACAAACTGTCTTGCTGTTTCTTGCCTATATAGAGCAACAGAAGACTTCATTCTAATCTTGGAATGTTCTAATTGGACTTCATTCCAGTGTTGGAAATGAGCTTCAGAGTTCATCACCTTGCTGCCTTGAGTATCTGTAGTTTGGAATCTTTTTGGATGATTAGATTTTAAAGAGAAGTTGACACCTACAGCAAACCACTCATCTTCTTCCCATTCTTTCTGAATATTTTCTTGAAGTTAAAACTCTTCTTACTATTTGGTTATGCATATTTGAGAAATTGGCTATACGTTTCCTAACAGATTTGAATGCTGCCTCGGTTATAAACTTTGTGAAATATCAAGCACGTTAGTGCTTGTGGAATACTTTTAAGGCATCTTACTTGCATAACAGCAGAAACAGTTCATTCCACAATATGCTGAGTGCTGGTTGTTGTTGTTTGTTTGTTTGTTTGTTTGTTTTTTTGCAAGCTTCATCTGTCATAATATGTGCAGGTATTGAGATAGGAGAAAGGAAAACAGAAAAACTTCATGTATTATTTTTTTCAACAATGCTGCACTTATATATACTAATGCTTTAAAATTCTAACATGAATATTAGAGTAGTTATCTGTAGCATTTGAAAACTGTGCTACATTCAGACTGCTACTAGTTTATATTTAGTAAATATTTGTGTCACCCTTTCTAAAGAATTAGTGTACTATTTATACTTTTTTTTTCCATCCCCTCATTCCCTATGGTAGCTACCAGTACTTAAGGAATAATGCATTTATCCTCATTTCAAATTAAGTGTAATGCATTTCAAATTAAGTGCTGTATTAATTCTAATAACTTTCTAAGTGCGTGCTATTCACCACTTGCCAGTTTTTGATCAGTGCAAAGAGCAGTTGCAATGTTCCTTGGGGCCTTCTCTCTGCTTTCTCTCATTCTCTCCTTCTATAATGCTGTTTTCAAATTTCACCTTCTCTTTTTTTTTTTTTTCTTGAAATCCTTACTCCAGTCTTGCATCTTTTGCAAAGGAATCAGCAGTATTATGTAAATCTAGTAATATACAGACATCTCTGTGGTGTCAGGAGAAACACACTGAAATTAAAAAAAAACATTGTAAAGACCTCGGGGCTGATAATTTAGTTAATATGTTATTACAAATTCATCTAAAACAATTTGAAACAATAATATTCAATTCTTGGCATAATGGCAGAGATGTATTTATGAATTACATGAGGATAGTGCAAGATGTCACATCTCTTTCTTCCACTGCAAGCTCTTTCTAAGAAGAAAGGGATAAAATAAAAAACACAAAGAAATGTTTGTTCTTTTAATTTCTTGTTGTTTCCCCTGTATTCATCTTATGTATGCATTCAGGAAGTAATTCAAGTTTTAAAACAAATCTGAGTTATTTGTATACTTCACAAGATTTTTGATATATTTAATCGTGATTTTATCTTTCAACATTTTAAAAATGTAGAGACTCAGATTAGTATAAAATATTTGCTGCATCTCAGTAACACTAGAAGATATGACATAACTCATTAATGGAGAGATGCTTGAAAATAGATGTTAACAACTGAAGAAATATGGCAGTGATTTTATTATAGAAACAGTTTTGACTGCTTAGTGACCCAAAAGTTGGAAGATGAGAATCTTTGGTTTGAATTAGTTCCTCCATTCTCATCCTATTAATTATGTAATAAATGAATAAACATAAAGGGGAGTTCACTTTATGAAGTCTCAAATACATGCCTCATCTCTGGAGCCTTTTAAGCAGCTATAGAGTGCTTCCTAAATTATGCAGTGAGACTTTGAGCTCAATACATGCTTTTAATTTTTCTTTGTATTATTATTATTAGAAATCATCTTTCGTACTTTAAACATAAATTACAATTTTGTCTCCAACTGATGATGATAATATTTTCAATTTTAGGATATCTTGTATTATGAGCAGCTCAAGTCAAATGTGATTCAGCATGACCTTTTAGTGGACAGCTTGATTTACAAAGTAAGTAATCCATTAAGTGATTTATGTAGTCATCACAGCAGTATCTTGTTTGCAGTTTTTTTTTGTTTGTTTTCTTTCTTTTTTTTAACAAAGAAAATGTTGCATAGTTTTGTTTTAAGAAGTGTGAGAGTGATTACAGTGAATTATTGTAATCTCTCTCCTTGTTCCTGCAATGGCTCTTGTGTAAGACATTTGTTTAAACTGTAGAAGAAACAGTCATAGAGAAAACAGTAACTTCATTTTGAGGAATAAATGATTTCTGAAGTAAAATAGCACTGGGGCCCAAATGATTTTGTTTCAAATTTCAATTCTAAATACTTCAATAATCCACTTAATATCTTGGTTTTGCATTTTACATATGGATTATATGCTTAACCATAAGCTTTTTCATTATTAAATGGTGAAACAGTGTTTCCTACCATTGTGTTTAGTTAAGTCTTTCACCTTCAAACTGCTTCATTTTTTAATTTCAGGATGTAAAGCTAACAGCAAGCAATGATGACTACTATTTTGTATTTGAGGATTATTTATATCAGGTATGTAACTTCATTTTTCTCTCAGAGAAGCTAGAGAGCACACTGCTGTGGCAGTATATAGCAGGACCCTCGACAGATGTGTTGGCTGCATTATGTATATCTTCCCTTCAGAGTATTAGTGCTGCAAACAAACCTTGTACGTTTGGACAGATTAAGCATGACTTGCTTCTAAAAACTCCTGAAGGACCCTCAATCATCCTTCCAATACCAAAAATATGAAGTCAGCTATATTCTTTCTTTTTCTAGCTTGGTAACAGTAAAAATGAATGAATGAACAGAATAACAGATTAACAGAAGGTGTGGCACACAGAGATATCAAGAGTTGAGAATTTCCAGTCTAAAAACAAAAACATTTCTTTATAGCTCTTACTGTGACGTACTGCAATAAGCACAAAAGATATTTTATTGACCTATTTTTAAACTGAACACCTTGGTTCTGCGTAAGGTAATGATGTGTATGGTTACTTCTAAGCTTCCTCCCATACTAAAGCTGCTACTTGCAATAGGGAGTACAGCTAATTTATGTAGGATTATCTTCATTGCTGCCTGTCAGATACCATTGAACAGAAGGAGATTACATTTATGAATTTCCTAATGTGTACTTGATTGCAGTGTCAACATAAATGTCATGCAGCAAACTTCACATTCCCTTGTTTTTTCCAGTTTCATTAGTCACACTTGTTAGGCCAGACTTGCTTTTTTTTTTTTTAGAGCTACGTGAAACAGTTCTTCTTTGATGGTAGTATGTAAAACTGCCAATAATATGGAGAACTAACAAAAACTATCCTTAATGTAGTTTATTCCATATGAATAAAAAAATGGGGGTTACTATTTAAACATGCTATTCAATCATGTCTACATATGATATTTTTAACATAGTGGTTGTTTAAACATTAACATTAAAAATCACAACCTCAAAAAACTATAGTTTATTTTACTTAAAATAGTTACAAAGGTAACATCTGCATCTGATTTTTTTTAAAATTAATTACAATTAATTTTTGTTAATTAACAACTCCACAGTGACATATCTTGGATTATCATATCCAATAGTTTATCAGACATTTCTGTACTTAATAAGGGGTTGTGTCATTATTCTTACAGCAGCATCATTTCTGTGAATGAAAAAAATAACGTACAAAGAGAGAAACTTGTACATCTGTGACTTTGTGTCAGATGTTCTTATTTTAATACTTGAATCTTACATCCCTCATAACTAGTATGTGCAGAGAGCCTCACCCAGAAGTTTCAGTGTAGTCAGAACTCGTGTTTGGGTTGGAGTCTACTTCTTATAAAGTTACGTGCTCTTAAAGACCTGCAGATTCTGATGCTGGGCACTGTAATCCCCCTCTGTGGGCGAGAGAGGCTTCAAATAAGGTTACATTCTTTCCCCTATGAGGACAGAATTTATGTCCCTTCTAGATTAGTTCCTCTTTCTTTCACCTCAGTTAACATATACAGAGAATTACGTTTGCCTGTGTATTGTTATTGTCAGTTGTATTTTGGCAGCTGTGAAAATGACCGTGTATTGCACAAAAATAATATTTAGCTTAAACTGTTCAAGATAAAGGAATTATTTATTTTTTAAAAGATGTTTGTATCTGAGAAGTAATTTTGAGATTCATGAAAAGGAAATTTCTCAAATATACCTTGCTTCCAGAAAAAAAAAAAAAAAGAGTGGTCGTCAGAGGTCACAGTTTTGCGTGTTTTCTTTCGATAATGCTGATCGCTGGAAAATGTTTGCAATAATTTGTTGAAGGAAAACTCCATTTGTTTTACTCATAAGAAATTATGTAGTAAAACACCATATAAACAATTCCACATCTTACACCTTGGCTACAGTTTAAGGAAAAACTGTTGAAAGCTGCAAGAACAGCGGGCTTAGTTATTTAAGTCAGCAAATTGTAGGTTGTTTTACTTCTGCCCTCTTGTGTCCATTCTGGATAACACAGTCTCTCATTGCATGAAAACAGGAACATTTTTTCAGTTGTGTATAGGATGAGATTCTTTATTGTTGTGGGTTTTTTTCTTCTAGGAATGCTTTTAATATTTAATTTTTTAATCAATTGCTATGAACAGTAAATTGTTTCTTTACATAAGCAGTGAAAAATACAGATGTATTTTGTAAAATACAGTATGGATTTCAGAACTTAAGTATATGACATGAACATTCTCACTTGTTCTTTTGGAAAGTACTGAACAGTGCAAGCATTCTGCAAAGCTCATGGGAATGGTAGAGAATATGAGGATCAGTCCTCTGGAAATGCATGTATATTACAATGTAAACTATTCATTTGCATATGCTCCTACTTGGACTTCCCTAAGTCATAGTAACCAAATGGAAAAATGACCTATTAGACATCAGAGCAGCCAAGTGCATGCACTGCACTTTAATTACACAGCCACTTTAATGACTGTGATTAATGGGAAAGGGGGAACTAAGCAAAAACTGAAGACAGTACTTTTGAAACATTCCAGAATGTTCCAATGCTGATTATTCAGGTGTACATCAGTATGACATGACAGAAGGGAGTAAACTGCTTCATAGAGGCAAAGAGGAAGACTGGAGGATGTGGGTGTTTTGCTGACAACAAATGAATGTGAAGATGTTATCATAGCAAACTCCAGATGAGTCTAGAAGTTTTAATGAGACACTAAATGGAGCTGGTCAATAGCCTTCAACCATATTAGCGTTCTTCAGTAGCATCTTACAAGTGCTAATGAAAGTGGGTGCGTGAATCTCTATTTGGCATTTCTTTGTTGATTGTCAGCTGATTTTTTCTGTGCTGTCTTCTACAGGTATTACTCTGTTTTTCACGAGATACTTCAGTATTGGAGCACTTTGCTTACAGCAGTGCTACTCCACCTAAATCATACATACAAGGTAATAGGAGTTGTTTTAAAAAAGAATACAGTATGTGAATTCCTTTTGTGTTCATTACACCTGTTAGACTGCATTTAAAAGATTATCAGTAAGGAACATCACGCATCCAGATGACATCTTCACAGGTTCTATTACTGCAGTTTAGAAATTATTGCATTACACCCAGATTGCAGTGACGTAATTTTATGGTAGTTTTCTGTGTGTAATTATTCAATGCTTTTCCAAAACAAATTAAAACCCCATCTATGACAGTATAGTAGAATTGTGACATCTGTCATCAGCTGGGATAGAAATTTATATATACATCATTGCCCTCAGCAACTTCAACAGATTTACTAACTGGAAGTGGGGGTAGAGTGTTATCTTCCCAAAGCAGTGCATTTGGAAGGTATTTGTAGACAGGAACAGAACACGTTGCTGAAGAACATTAGGCTCTGTTACATTGGCTGGAAGAGTACAGCTCTACCAAGCAGGCTTACACAGATTTTTTTCATTGCACTGTGTATTCCAGAGTTTTACCCTGCCTTTGGATTTATTTCTCTCTGAATCTGATTTTTTTATTTTTTCTGGTAACTTAATAGTCTTAAATTTATCACTTCAGTCCACTTGCCCTCTCAGCCAGCTTCTGCCGTGCTTCTGAGCTCTACTGTGTTGTTTCTTAGATCAGCACCTCCTTTGGCTTTACCCAGAGATTCACTATTTTGTCTTTTTCCTTGAACCCTTCAACCATCCAATGCCTTTTTTTTTTTTTTTTTTTAATACAAATATTTCATTTAGATTTACCTTCTCCATTACCATTTTCTTCCTTGGTCCCTAGTTCTGGTATATGTAACCTAGTGGATACCAAGTACTTTTTTTTAGCATAAACTCTGCACACTTTGTTTTCCATGTGCTGCTACGTGTGTCACTAGAGCCAATGATTATTTTGTGATTATTTTTTTCTTCCTTTCTTATTGCTTTGTAGGTCTTCTCTCTCTTTGAATGAATTAAGCAGCTTACTTTACCTACTGCCAGAAACTAGCAAGGGGCTCACCTGAGAGCAGAACAGCAGTGGGGTCTGGGTCTCATTTCAGGCATAGAGCCATGGCAGCCCAGAAACACTACTATTCTATTTATTCCAAAGCAAATCTGAAGAATGAAGTTGCTGAAATCTAAGTCTTTGCTGAGCATGTGCAGCATAAATCTGCAATGCATGTAGGTCCTATTTTTGGCTAATTTTCCAAGAGAAATGTTTCATGCTAAAAATAATCACCTTCCAATTTACACTCCCAGTTACAGGCAAGCAAACAATTGAAAGGAAAAGTAAAATTACTTGGTATTTTAATGAAACAATTGATTTTTGTAATTGGAAAATACTGGATTTTGTTTTCATGGTTAGGGGGCAAGAGCTTCACAGATTCATTTTGAATTTAATTCTGTCAATTTGTTCTATAGGAAAATATTTAAGTCCAAATTAATTTGAACCTGGCAAAAGTTCCTGTGCCGTTCTTCTGTGTAGAAAGAACAAAATGCAAAGAGATCTGCAGGACCTGGGAATATCCTATACATTTTCACATAAATTGTAATAGTTGAATTTCTCATTTTAAAACAGAGAAATAAAGAAAAGTTTTTAAGTAATTGTAAAATGCTTAAAAACCTTTTTTATAGTGCTAAATAAATTGTGAAAATTTTATAGCAGATTTACAATACTGTTGACTACTGTGAGATGTTCATTTTGCAGGGAAGAGAAAACTGGCATGTTTAATCTGTATAGTCAACGTTTGTCTTAATTATTCTTTTGTATCCAATAGATCACTTCTTTTTTGTTTTGATTTATCACAGCTGTACCATGCATCTTCCTCTCTGTTGAACACTCAATGAAGTCCTAAATATCTGGTGTTTTATCTGTCTGTTTTTATCTGGTGTTCTTCTGCCTTTTTAAGTGACTTTCCTATCCCTAAATCAGCTTGACAGACTTTTCCCTCTAACTTAACTGTCTTCAAGTACTGCAGCAAGCACCTTTAGAGCTCTGTAATATTACACCCCAATCAAAATTCTTGTTCTTTTTTTTCGGTTGTTTATCATCCTGCCTTGTTGGTGCTGCTTTTTTGTTTTACATTTGAGCGTGTGTTCGTCCTATTGCATTGCTTACATGCTTTTGGACAATATCGAATGATCAGTAACACTTGTAGTTATAATTTTTATAATTGTCACTTAAATCTGTTTTTTCACTTACATCTATACACCTTTTAATAATTGCATTGCATTTTAATTGTTTGATGATTCACAGGAAAGCTTGGAATAGAAGAGTATGCTGTTTTCTATCCACCAAATGGTAAGAATGATACTATTGCCTCCTCTAGCGGTAGGTTGGAAAGGTACAGGATATGTTTTTCCTCAAATACGTGTTAACCTCTTTTTCTGTTTCAAAGTGTGTTTTACTGTTATTCTGCCAAATTCATTAATTTAAGGGATTGAGTTGGACTGAAGCTAATGCAGAAGCACAGTCAGCCTGTTGTTAATAGTGACATGAAGTTTGTCACTATTAGAGGGAAAGAGGGAAAGCAACTTCTGGTGCGGCAGCTTGTACTCCAGTGACCGAGGATCATCCACTTAGAGGATCTGAAAGATACATCCTGATCCCCAGCTTTTCAATGCTCTGTACACCATGTTTGAAAGTCACTTTTCCTTTCAAAATTAGCATTCATTTTAGAAATTCAGATCTAACAAATCAACTTTAAATCAATATCATTGCAGTTGTTACATCAGTTGTTAATTTTTTTTTCTTCAGCTTTTATTTTGTTCATTTCAGTTCTGATCTGTTGAAACCTCACCCTATTTTTGTGCCACATTTAAAACTCAAGCTCACTGCTATTGCTTTCAAGGCCTCACATCACCAATCTTATATCCTTATCTCTGACCTTACCTTCTGTGCCTTCTCTGTCCCAGTGATGTCAGTGATAGCATGTTTGTTTGCTCCCCTTTGTTCCATTTTTGCCTCCACATTTCTTTGCAGCTTTATAGCCATGAAGGTCCTTATGACCTCTTGTCAAAACAGTTCCCTCTCATTGGTCCTGTGGAAAATTAATGAATGGGAGCTGAGATCAGTTGCAAAGGAGGAGAGAACTGTCATACAGCTGCCAACTCCTCTAAATGTTTTGTCTGAGTACTATATAAGTAACTATAAGTTACTGGAAGTCTCGGCCTTTTTTTTTTTTTTTTTTTTTTTTTCCAGCTCCCTCCTTGTCACTGCATGACATTTACTGGTTGTCATTTAACTGAAATTAGGTTCTGATTTCATCAGAGCTTATCCTTAGTAACTTCATGGAAACAGCTTTACATGGCTTTCTAGGAACTATAGCATGTGTTACGGTGCACCGTTGGTGGTAGTGAAGTAAATAATCTAATTTATCTAATATCTAAGTATTATTACCTAATACTTAGATACAAGCTAGAGATCTAAGACTGTGGGTGCTATAACAAAGCTATATCTTATCCCTGTAGTGGGCAGAATACAATTTAGAAACAGGGGGAAGATACATGGATAAAAACACATTTCTAGCATGGATAAAAAAGCAATTTAGAAGAAGAATAGTAAAAGGAATCTTTGTTTTCTAGGTGTCATCCCATTTCATGGCTTTTCTATGTATGGTAAGTGTGATACTTAACAGTCAGGGATTTCTTTTTATTGTATCGTAGTTTAAGGCTGTATGTACTTTTCTTTAAATAAATTGCTCTCTATATTCTATTTTTGTGTATACAAAAGCTTTTCTTCCAAGCTGCTTCTACTTCCTCACATTATGATTTTATATCATATGCTGTTTGAGAGCTAATCACTGAGCTGTTGGCCTCCAAGTCAAAAGTAGATTTTAATGTATATGACTAGAGGGACAAAGTTCATTTGCAGAGTCCTCTTTTTCTAATGCTTCGTGTCTTCTAGGTAGACCAATTTATCTGTCAGTCTTAAAAACGTGAATTATGTGAAAGGCCTGCTGCTGTATTTGTCTTCGAATAGGAGTTAAAGGACTGTTAAGTGATAGGTTGGTTGCTGTTGCCTTGCACGGAAGACAGCTTGATTATCAACAAGATTTCCAGGAAGACAGCAGAAAAATCCCCCAGTTCTCAGATGTAACAAGGCATCAAGACATGTTATATAGCAGATGTATTGCAGAGAGGTGCTCAGACACCATGAGAGCATGTGCTACGGGTTTCCAGAGGTGGTGATGGTGTTGGTCTGTTTGTTTGGTTTTTTGGGGGGGGGAGGGGCGGTGCGGTGCAGGATGTTATAACAGTGGTATTTGGGCTAGCAGAGAAGACTATCCAGACTATCCTTAAAATGCCATATTTAGCTACTGTATGGGAACTGCTGAATCATGGCCTGAACCTCTGATTGATCATCTGAGGCAGGCAATGAGTCAGCCACCGGAGCACAGGTGAAGGCAATTCACCTGTGCTGCCAGAAGGAGTGGAGCCTGGCTGCACCTCTCCTAGACCCATTTAAGAGCTGACTACCAGTGGGGAAGGATCTCTTTTGGAGATCCCTCCTCTGGAGTTTTGCAGCGAGCCCAAGATGTGGGTAAGCATTCTATCTATTCTCTTTTTTGTTATTATAATCTGCTTTGCCAAACTCTTTTTTTTTTTTTTCATAATTATAACATGTTTATATTCATTGATTATACAGCTACTAATAAAATTAAATGATCCCACTCCTTTGACTATCATAGAGAAAAGGCAATTTAAGTATGAAATGGAAATTTGGACCTGAATGGGGAATGTCTTCTGAAGTAAGAAGCAGCTTGGTTATACACTCCTCTTTAAGTGTTCACTAGGAGGCTTTCAATTTCTTCCATGAGAAACTGTTTTTCAAAATGTTTGGATTTGACTCTACCCTTTAGAACAGCGTTATGAAACTGGGTGCGAGCCTCTTCCCTCCCTGCTTTCCCCTTTTACTTGGAAAGGGCACAAAATAGACAGGCTGTGAGAAGGAGAGAGATTAAAAAGGCAGGCAGCAGAAACATTATAGTATGAATCCAAGCTGTGCATGCAGCAGCTGAGACCAAGCAGCTGCTCTAGGTGGAACTACCTGGGACCTGATGTAAATGTCGTATACATTTGCATGTTTGCACACATACTGTCATACAGTGCCACTTGTCAGGCACTGTTCTCATATCCTCCTGGCCTTTATGTACAAAAGCACTTTGCCAACTCTTTCACCTCAGTCTTCAATCCTTACACATACACACTAGTAAGACCCTCTGCTTTTCTCAACCCAAAGTAAATATTTCTTTGAACATCTCACTTTGCCTTAGTGCTGCTGCCTTTCACACACAAGCGCCGTTATTTTCTAGTAAGCCATCTTCTCTGATTTATATACGTAAGAGAATGAATTCACACAATGCAGGTTCTAAGTAGTTTAGATTCTTGAAATATTAAAAACTGTATGCTAGAATGTATTCCCTTGCTGAACTTCGTACTTTAAATGGTAGATTATTTTAACAATCTTTGAATAGTTTCTATAGCATAAGTTTTGTAAATTGTGCTGATATGTATCATATGGTTTTCACCATACTTCATGCCTCTAACCATTGAATTCTTTTCGCAGTTTACAGCGTTGTGTCAATTATAATTCTTTTATCCTTTCAGTTGCTCCACTTTGTTTTCTGTATCATGAACCTGCCAAATTGTATCAGATATTCCGTGAGATGTATGTGCGTTTTTTCTTCAGACTCCATTCCATCTCTTCTCATCCTTCTGTAAGTTCATTAGGAATTAAAATCCAATCACTTAATATTCTCTTTGCTATAGAACAATATTATACAGTGGCATAATTTTTCTCTGTGACTAAATATATCCTTATAATGTATTAAAATATTTCAGGCAAGCTTGGGAAAGGCGTTTGATATCTTTTTCTATCTCAATTTCAGTCTTTGCTACAGAACATAATGCACTTTATGAAATTATGTGTTTTCCTTATTAGGCTTCTTAATTCAAGCTGTTATGTAAATACAGATTCTGTCCTGTTTTCATTGATGACATGTAATTGCTAACTTAAGTGCTTTCTAGCATAGATGAGCTATTAGGTAGTCAAATATACACAAATATCTTTTCGGTGAAATCATGTTAATGTCTCTTTCTTTAACTCAATCATCTTTGAATGAAAGCATATGCTTTTTGTCATTATTAGATACTGGAGAGACAATTTAAATAACTTTACGTTCACAGCCAGCTGTTTTAACTGTTTTTGCTTATCTCCTATTTTTTAAGAGTAGAACATAGTAGATGCTTTTCTCTTTTTCCCTCACAAAAGGTTGAATAGTTTTTTTTTTGTTTTTTTTTTTGAAGCATTTCCTGGTTAAAAGAAAATCCTTTCCTTATATTTAATATGCTGTTTTGAGGCTGGCCATCGTGCCTTCGGTCATTAATAGTGGGGAAACTGGTTGGACAAGTATCTGTTACCTTTCGTGGTAATTTCTTAAAGAAACTTTAAAATGCGTTTTTTTTTAACTATCCCCATTGCTGTTATCTATTTCTCACATCCTCCTTTTTTTTAATATGTAAGTGGAATATCATGGAAGTGGAAATATTTCAAGTAGGACATTCAAAGTAGATTCTGGCATGCAGCTGAGAGCTGAAAGGGGTTATCAGAACGTACAACACTGCTAATAGATACATAAAATTTTAGCTTTAGTGACTGAAGGCATTAGAGTTGCTCATGCCCTGCTTACCTGAACTGTATATTGTATCGTTAATAGTGTTTTATTTCTTGAATTAAAAACTCATGCATACTTATGTGCCCGTACTGTTTTTTCAGATTTGACAGCATGAGTGTTAGTATTCAGGATGTGATCTTGTTTCACTAGGGCATTGTGTCATTGTGTTTGCTGTTCGAGACTCTTCTACAAACTCATCTGCCTCAGCTCTTTTATCACCTTCGAGAAATTGGGGCTCAGCCGTAAGTATATCTTACTAACTTGATACAAATGTTATGGATTAACTGTCATTAAGATGCTGCTTGTTCTGTTGTGTTTTAACTTAAAAACCATGAAAATTATTCCAAACTGCAGGCATGGATGTGCCAATTTTCCTTGAAAGTAATTTGGAGTCCTTTGTCTAACATCGTGTATGTACATTAGGCATTTCTTTCAGTATGTTCTATGAATAAGAAAGGGTAATTGCTCTTTGTGTTTATATAACGAATAAGTGTTATTAGGTTAAGTTTTAATAATTCACATGAGATCTGATTGAACTAAAGGAAGAGTAGAATATTTTTATTTTTATTTACATTGTGATATGCTCATTAGAGCAGAAACTATTGCTGGAAGAGAAGAGAGCAGGTAGTTGTCATTCTCTGTAGTATACTCATGGCACCAAGTGCAATGGAATGTGAAAATCTTACTGTTATAATCAATATTCATAATAGTAGCAGAAGCTGATGAAACGTTTGGAGTAATAAAATCTGAGGATCATTCTAATTTAATTGTTTGGTCAGAATATTTCGGTGATAGAGGATTTGTCTAATCATGGGAGAGAGAAAAATCTAACTACTACTGTTTATTGCTTGTTTGCAGGCTACGAATTTCATTTAAATGGATGGTACGAGCATTTTCTGGTTATTTAGCTACAGATCAGCTCCTGCTCCTGTGGGACAGAATCCTGGGGTACAACTCCCTAGAAATTCTTGCTGGTAAGGGAATTAGTTTTACAAAGTTTGGTAAGTCCATGTAGATGTCACAAAATAGACTGAGCTAACGTGTATTTGCCTTACAAGAGAACTTACAAGAGAACTGCAAGTCAAAGAGAATACCTTTTAGAAATGGTATAAATACCACACCTCTAACAAAAACATGAAGTGATTTTTTTAAAATATATTTCTTTTTTATAATTGTTTTCTGTGGTAGCAGTCCAAAAGTAGTGCTCTGAACAGAGCATAAGATGTTCTCCTACCTTCAGTGGCAACATTTGATGTGGCAACGATTAAGATTTGAATTCATCACCTTTCACAAAATACAGCATTAATCTTATGGGAAGTATGTCTTCAGTACTTAGCACAACTGAGAGTTGTCCTGATTTGCTGTAATTCTTTTTTAAAACCTTGTATTTTATGAGACTTTGACAGTTCTCTACTTTTTATAAAGGAAACTCTGTCCTAAGATTTGTGCAAGGTAGAGGCTTCCAAGGAAGTTATGTGTATCTTCAGTTGGATCGCAATTTAAATACAAGGAATGTGAACAGAAGGGTAGTTTTAGTTCCATTTGTAAGAGACAGCTATGTAGATATGTACACCTATATAAGAGATTTCAAAATGAATTAACATTTTTTCTAGTTATATAGTGCTCACAATTAGAACTGTTGTCATTTTCTAAGCCAGTAATTTGGATTTACGTAATAAAATAATTGTAAATCACCTTGTTTCCTTGCAGTTAAAAGGGATTCATCTTAAACACAAGCATTTTTACTCAAACTTTTCTGAAAGGATGTTTGTTGTCCTGTCAGTTTTAGTGAATAGCCAAAGAAACTCAGACATTGACATTCACAGTATATTATTATTCAAAATCAAACTAATTCTTCTGGGGAGAGAAAAATGATATTTTAGATCAAGATTAATAGATTAATCCTAACCACTAATCAATAGGTCATCAACTTAAATATTGGTTTGTTGGCTTTTCTTTTCCTTCCAGTCCTGGCAGCTGCTGTATTTGCTTTCCGAGCAGTCAACCTGATGGAGGTGACATCATTGGCTGCAGCTGAAGTAAGGATAAGTTTCACTTTGAGGAGATTGAAATAGTTTCTGATGCTTTGCCAGCCACAGTAACCTAAGCCTCACATGGCACGTGGTACATAGTGCAAATGTTTCTGCCTAAATTCTTATCTTAGATAAAAACTAGATAAATTTTGAACATGCAGTACATAATACTACTTCTCTGGAGTAAATGGAAGTAGAAGTATATTTATTACAGAAATGTGAAGTTATCAAACTTTGTTGTTTCATTAGCACTTTTTTCTGTTTTATTCTCAAAATATGTTAATGGGATATATTGTTTTTAAATCTACTGTGGAGGTCTGTACTTTTTTCTCAGTATATTTTACTGTAGCTGCTTCTGTGCTTTTTAATATTACAAAGATTTAACAAAACTAATTTTGTTAATATTGAATCTGAAAATTCATTGCAAGTAGTACCATTGTACAGATAGGAAATGGAAAAAAAAAACAAAACCTCAAGATGAAGTTTATTATTGTTTATCTGTGCTAGTTTGTTAAAATAGATTTTTTTTTTTCCCAAAAAACATTGTAATACATATTTTTTAACTTTGAGAGATTGTGATTGTCTCGTTTTGTTTTATTTAAACATACTTCTTTTAGAAGACATTGACTCCTTGAGCCATTACATTGGACTTGCCTCACAAGTACTAGCCAAGCCACAGGATGAGGATTCTTAATTCCCAATTATTTTTAGAAGCAAGTTGAAATGTTAGACCGCTTGATGCCCTATATACTTCAAGTAAGAGTAAAGGCTAAAATAAAGTTGCTTAGTTTTATATATGTAAGCATATGCTTCTTCTTTCAAGTGTTAAGATGAAAAATAAGGCAAGAGAAGTTTTTGGCATACTGAAGTAAACAAGTGTAATTTGTTTCTAGTCAGATCTGAAACTAACTATTGTTATGAGTCAATACTGAATCTTTTTCTGACTTCTTTAGCTGCTTTAAAGAAATGTGATTCAAATGCCAAGTTTAACAAGCCTTTTGGGTTTTTTCCTAGGCTGTTCTTGCTGACCTTTCAACCCTGAAGGTTATGCCACTTCTTCAAATCTTCTTGTTTGCTACTGTTACCTGATCTGCTTCAACAATACTCTACTGCATTTCCAGCCTCTCATGAGAAGCTAATGATCATCTATGCAATGTCTGCATAAAACCAAAATTAAACTGTATGTACAATATTCATTTAGAAATCTTAATGGAATTTTCTAGCTGAAAACAATAACTTCACACAGAAGTGTGTGTAGTGCATGCTGCTGACTTTCACTGCAATGACGGTTATTACTTGTACATTAAGAATGACAACTTGTGCAAACAAATGATTATGAATCAGTGTCTAAAATGCATGTAATATATAATAAATAATGTAATTCTTCACTTGAGTGTTGTGATGCTTATGTCAGAATTATAAAAGTTCTCTTATAATCTTAAACTTTTTAGAGCTCACAGCTTACAGTATGTCAGATCTGGTACTGTAAATTGAGAAAATGGAGATACTTTAATTTCTCTCTCAGGCGTCTTCTAAACTCCTTCCCAGAGTCTCATCAAAGGCCCCATGTTGTAAAATATGTTCCCCTGTAGAAGGCTTGAGCATAGCTTCCTTCTGAACTTGTTGAAGCCAGTCCATGCATGAGCCAAAATATTCCCCTGAGGATGATGCCAAGAGTTCTTTCACAGTACCCCACACCCTTTCTAGGAGGGCAGCGTTATGCCTTTGCCAGTTTTCCAGCCTTGGTGATTCAACAGCTCAGGCTGCAGCTCAGAATCCAAACTCGTATCAATGTGTGATGGATTTTCACTACACTGTCAGGCTGGCTTGTTGTCTGTTAGCAAGTATACCATTTTTGAAGTCTCTTCCAATTTTTTTCCTTTGTCTCGTTTAATACCAAAGTGGAAATGACTAATGTGATTTGATTAAACATATCTTAATCTGTGGAAAAAATCAAAGTCAAAAGGACATAAGGGGTTATGTAGCCACTGAGTTTGCCATGGCACTTCTATCTTCATCTAAGTTACGTAAGATGCGTTACTTTCAGAGTGACCTATTGATTTCCATGGAAATGACAACAGACATAAAGAGCACAATAACATTATTTGATAGTGCAAATTTTTGGCTACAAAGCACTTTTTTCTACATAGTTGCCACCGTTAGCTATGCATTTTCACCAGCAATGAATAAGAGCCTGCATGCTATGCTCATAAAAACCTGCACCAATGGAGGTGACCTGCTCTCACCGCTGCTGAAATGTACCACCAGCACCTCCCTGTATTTTCATCTGCTGTTTGTTCTCCATAAACGTTCAGCAAGTGTCAATGAATGTCAGTGGGTGCCATTTTTTCCACGGGGAGGAATTCAGTGACACACTGGTGGAATTCAATGACACACTTCATGTGCACTTCTGTGTAGAATGCCATTTTGTCAGACTGCCCCTCTACTGCCATCTGTTGCATGGCAATGAAATGTAACAGGTTATATGTGGTAAGATTCAACTTCTGCTGCCATACGACCAACACCTGCCTCTGATATCATGGGCTGACAGCGTAAAATAGGAGGCATTATTTTCAGAGCAGCCCATGTACATATATGTATTTGTCATTTGTGGTATGTACTGAATGTGTGACAGTGAAATACAAATCCTTTTAATTTGTTCAGCAGTTACCTGAAAAGTTGTCTTGGCCATAGTCTCACCTTAGTTTGAGCTTTATTTCTGTGGTTCTAATTATGTCTACCTGTATAATACAGGAAGAAACCAACTCAACCTTTATAGATTGCTAGTATATTTATAAGGCTAACTTTTATTAAAGTAAAGCTTTGGATTCAGCACAATCAATTCTTATTAAGAACGAAACTATTTAATAGGCTTGACATTGAACAAGAGTGTTTTTAACAATTTTCTTCTGGATGACAAAATAAATATTTTCATTAATATGTGACAGAAGCGGTTTTAACATTTTTACCAGAGGCTTTTCTAGACACTTAGCTTTAAAAAAGAGGACACACATGACAACTCTTATCTTTACAGACAGTATTACCCTATTTTACATATGGGGAATGGAGGCATAGAAAGATTAAGAGATTTGCTGAAGATTACAGAGTAAATTCCTAGGAGATGAGTAGTCTCTCCTGAATTCCTGTTTATATTTCAGGAAGCTCAGCTTGTGTATTAAATGCAGGACCTTATTTCAGGACAACATATCATGCACACCTACCTCTAAAAATTGAGCATTTTGCAGTTTTTGAAATCAGTGAGGCTTGGTACCAACTTAGGAGTCATAATGTTACAAAGCATTCACAAGAACTGTGGCTTCATAAGGTCTTTACAAGGTTGCCGTCGCTTCAGGGGAATTAGAAGTGTTTACTAAATAGCAAATGAGATCCCATGAAAGCCTGGTGACCTTCTGTTCTTTCCCATTGCTCAAGTGTATGGTGTAGAACCTGGCCATTATTCTAATCCATCCCTTGTTGGGCTTTTATTCTCAGTCTTTTTTTTTAATTCTTTTTTTTTCTTCCCATTTTCAATAGTTTTGAAGGGAGGATAACTAGGAAAAGATAGAGACTACGGGATTATTGTTCAAACAAGGAATTCTGTGAATCTTAGAATGTGGTCTGTTTTCTTGTGACCTGGCATCTCATTATTCATTCTGACAGTCTCTTTTCTCCCTTGTGTCCCCTCTACCTTCCCCGCTAGCATTCTTGCTCTTCCTTCTGTTCTTTACCTTTGTTTCTCCTGGTGTCTGGACAGGGGATCTTATTCTCTGCAGCTAGCGTGGATCAATGTGCATCATTGGCCAGACCAGTTGTGCTACTGCTCCCTCAGCCTGGGATGATGCTATGCCTCATGCTTCAGGCTTGGTCAAAGGCTTCACTGACTACCTGCAGCTCTTGAACCAGGGATTGTATGGACCAGCTGTGGCAGTGAATCTCTTGAAGACCTATGCTGACTTTTATTGTATGTTTTAAGTTGTCATTTTTGTGACACAGACATAGATGCACGTAGGAATAATGAGTATAACTTCTTTAGAATAAGATTAAATACAAACTGGATCCTTTCCTTAGATTCCAACTGTACTCTCTTAGAACTTTCTTGAAATCTGTTCTTAAAAAATTGCTTTTACTGGGGTTTCATTATTTTCATGCTTGCATCAGTTTCTTCTTTTAGTTCCAACAAAATATTGTGCTTCAGTTTCTGGGTGGTATTTGTATTTTTCATCTCTCTTGTTTAAATAACACTCGTTCATTTCAAATATTTATAAAAATAAAATGACTGGCTTCTATCTCACTGTTAGATACTTCTACTAGGCAATATTCATTTTTTAAGTGTTAGCTCTGGAGAGTAGTTCAACCCTGTTTAAGTCCACAGTCCTTCCAGACTTCCAAATTCATAAAACTCCCTTTTTGTTTATGCCATTAGAAACAAGGGTCAGATTTTGATATAAAATCATAAATAAATGGGCACTTACATTAATTTAAAGAGACTTAGCTGAACTTTGAATGGCTCAATTTAACCAAATTGTTTTCCTTACTCTGTTTCCCCCATATGAAATCAACATAAAGAGGTGTTTCAGTACAAGAACCAATTGTTTCGATATCTCCAAATAAAGATCGATTTTTACTGTTTACCTTTAGAATTCTGGCTATGATCTGTCAAAGATTTCTTGTAATTTCAAATAGACTGTTCAAAAAAATGCAAAAGCAAATAGGCTTTTCTAAAAATGTAACCAAGTTATCTTGTTTCAGTACTTCCAAAAATATATTGAAACTTTCATCTTGATGGCTGGGTAATGGAACAGCTGAATAACTAGAACAACCTCTACTTTTTACTGGATTTTTTTGGCCACAGGAACAAATTTTATTGTGGAACAAATATTATTATTGTTATGAGAAATGCAGTATGGAGATTGTAAAACAGCTAGATATCCCAGTAAAGGGAAAAGGTTGGAAACAGACATTGCTGTTGATCATCATTGCAAGATGAGTGTTTACATGTTACCAGAAACCAGCAAAAAATTGTACCCAAAACTCTATTTTACTCTCTTCTAACTCAAAGAAAGCCAATGAATTTTATGCAGTTCTTCCAACAAGAATGAAGGGATTTTACTGAATAGATTGCTGTGTAGAGATCAAATATGGGAATGTAGTGTAGTGAACTGCTTATCAGCCCTAAGTAAGAGTTTATTTAAAAGCTACTGAAATATTTTGCAAAACTGTGGGAGTCTGTTCTCGATTGGGAAGAAGAGACTTTCTCCTTTATCTGATCAGCTATTCTCCTTTATCTTTGCTATTCTGTCAGGTATTTTATGCTAGGAAATGGGGGAGGGAGGGGAGGATGCAGGAGTGGTGAGAACAGCAGGGCTCTTCCTTTTCCCTCCTTTCTTATAGCCTTTTCCTGTTCACGCCTCACGGTGACTGCTTTCATCCCCAGAGTGGACACTGCAAAGGCAATCAGTCCAAACCAGGGTTTGAGATTAGCAGAGCTCTGTATCTCATGTGGCCGGCCACAGTCAGCTTCCTCTGGCTGCAGATAGCTCATGGCGAGTGGCTGCTGGGCCAGAGCGCAGCAGGGCCTGGGCTGGGCTTAGCGGAGAAGTCACCCCAGTATGAGAGGGGAAAAAATGTCTCCTTTCTCTGGTGGCAGCTTGCAGAGGCTCCAGGCTCTCTGCACAAGGCCACTTCTGTTGCAGGGCACCATGCCTGCCAGCAGTTCTGTGAAAGCCAGGGAACCGCTGGCTGCCATAAAAAACAGCAGGAACTGAGAGAGCTCTGGGATGGCAAATGAGTTCTGCTGCTGACTGAAATCGGTCATAGATTTTTGTTCTTAGCTTTTTCAGTACCTTAACAAAAATGCTGGAGCAGGGAAGATTGGTTCGAGCTGGTGGAATGGTTGCGCTTTGCTTTAAAACAGTGTTAAAATTTCTCATCTTAGTGTTTTTTTATTGGTCAGGTCATAATACCAAATGACTGCCATGCAGACTCTAATCACACTTTTGGGAAACGTTTCAGGATGCTTGTGTCTCTGCGGATGTCATGTGGTGCAGCAGCATCCAGCAGACGTCAATGGGAACAGAGCGAATATCTGCTTAAAACACTGTGTTTGCCTTTGGTTCAGTGTGCTTTGCAAAACTGCAGTGCATAAAGTGCTGTAACGTGATCTAATCGTCCTAAATACTGGCTTGAGATCAGTCCTAAAATGGTGGCAGGATGGGTAATGCTGCTTTTTGGCAAACCATTTCTTTATTTGTTTATTTAAGACTGCATTCCAGCCCGAGGAGGTTTACCTGTTTCTGCACCGTATCAGACATTACAGCCTGCAGAAGATGAGCTTCACGTTCTGTGAAGTCGTCTTTCAAAATCAGTGTGTTGTTTTAGATGCTGGACT